ATCCCAGCCTGTGAAATGTTTTCTTTCCACAACAGCTGATAAAATCCTAGCACGATGAAATTGTATATTTAATCACTAGGGCCTAAAGTGACTATTTTCGACCCGAGCTCAAGTTTCAGCAGAAAATGAGCGAGGGTTGAAAAGAAAATTTTTGTCCGTGTCGTGAACTATATATTTTGTCATAATGTAACATAATTTAAGCAAACTAAGTTAGAAAACATGTATCATTGAAAAATGTAAATGTAAAATCTCAAAGCGACGTCCAACTTGTTTTCAATTTTTCGAATGCATACAAGCACCTGTTTGGTAAATGATTCCATAATTATTCGTCTATTAAGATTGTGTACACACTTTCTTGTATTCGTGCTACTAAACATGTAACACATTAAACTATAAATATGTTGAACGGTAAAGTAATATTCTTGCATTAGTGACAAAAATGCAACAATAAGCTACAACCGATTATACCAATCGATACATAATGTTAATACATGCGATTGCTCCACAAGCGACTTTTACTCCCTATGAGGCTAAAAAGTTGTTTTACTCTCTAGGGAGTAAGTAAAAGATGTACTTTAGACCCGCAACGCGTGTATTAAAAATGGCATATTTTGCTGCACCCTATGATGAAAATAATTTATACCATTTTAGATTTAAAACATAATTTATCCTAAATTATATAGGATCGAATTTATGCCTTGCCAGCCGCTGTACTTTTTTACGAACTTTCGTCTTTTACCTAATGTTACCTACAACGGTAACTCAAGTATTTCCAGTCAACGGTGTTACTCTGATCTAATTTGCTTTGTTTAATTTATTGTACTTGGTCTTATGTCTAAAATAAATGTCGAAATGAAACAGGTTCAATCCCGTTTCTTAAAATCTAGTTACAGTATCATACTTCTTTTTTTGTATTTCAGATGTTTCAGATAGTTTGGCTAAACTGCAAAATGAACATAACGGTTATGAGTGTTTGTAAACATTAAAATGACAAACAAAAATTATCATTAATCTTTGACGAACTGGGATTTGTAGGCTACTTAAGCTGACCAAGTTTATAAACTGAACTAAATCCAATAAAAGTAACGTCCACTAACGTCTATTACACCCAGGAGCCTAACGCAAAGTTTTCCAACGTCCGGGAAAAGACTTTTCTTACATTAGCACCAAGGGTCTAGTTATAAATGATCACTCTTTATGTTTGGTTCGACGGAAAATTACAATAAATGTATTTATCATGGAACATTTTCTTTTTAGCGTTATGGATTTAATTTATTTGTGATAGTTGTTCCAACCAAAGATTTTGTATTCCTATTCTAATTCCATAAACTCTACATTCACTTTAAGGCTATAAAACAACACCCTTCAAATGATTTTATTTTTTATAATTAGGTTCAAACAGTAAACTGTGAAAGACAGATAATGAATAGTTACATATTTTTTTACCGAAAAAGGTTAGCTTTTAAGATTGGCAAATAAAGATATTTAATAGAAAATACAACAAATTTACCAACCTTAATACTGTGGCGAATCATCAGTACAAAGATGCATGTCTTCACAGGAAAATCTGCGTAAAATATCATGTAATAAATCACTTGACACTTACTCCTTTTAAATGTCTTGTAAAACTCGAGTAGAATAGAGAAAAAGACTCACAACGTGGTCACACACGGACACTACGTGTAGTAACATGAAAATACATTATACCGATCAACGACACGAACAATACAAGACAACAATGAACCAGTAAGAAACTATTGCACATCATGAGAGGACTTGCTAATCAGCTGTTGAAAACTAAGATTATTTTATATTTAGCCAACATATTAATACGCTACAACATACTGTAAACAATTAAATATTGATGTTTTGTGTACTATATCAAAAATAACTCATCAGGAAAATCCACATTAGGCATTATAAGTGAATACGGAAACAATTTACGGGTAGTAATTTTACTGATGATTTACACTACAGTATATTCAATGTGTAATATCTTCGTTCTTAATTTTGTGGAATCCTTATATGTAATACGTGAAGGCGATTTCTACGAAACACTTCTCCTCCGTTAATAATGAACGGATTTTTACAAACGACGTGTCAAAATAAAGTTTTTTTTTTGTGTAGACTTGTGTAGATATTTCACCAATTCCCGTAATAAAAGTCCTCGGATACGATATGTAGTTGCTAAAAGTATTGAAGCGTAGGTTTTGAATCTGAGCCCTGCAGGATTTCGAACTCAACCTCTAGACAAGCATAACATAGCTCATACCTGTGCGTATTTTGGAAAAGAAAAATATTTTTAGAAACAGTTTTCAATTTTGTATTAAATTTTTCAAATAGAATATTCACTTTTTGGAATGTTTAAAGACTTCCAGCTTTTACAAGGCCGCGTTGGACCTGCACACGAAAAATTTTTCACACACCACCCTCCTGAAGTGTGAAAAGGAAATATAGGTAACCATTATAAGACTTCCAATCGGTACAGAAATGAGTCAATTTCTTCATTTACTTATAGGCAATGTAAAAGATAGCGCACAAGTTTACTTTCGTATTCCATGCCAACGAAATATATGAAAAAGCATTTGAGCAAAATATTGTATTGAAAGTTTTAAATATTAAAGCTTGTTCCAACCACACAGGGACTCTCTGTAGTTGTTGAATAAAAAACTAGCCGGATATTGTGTGGTTGAGGCAGTAAGAGCGTTGGGGTTTTGCATTCAAATCAATATATACATGCAATATTCAGAAGTATACGCAGTTTCTGGATGATTCAATGTTACGCAAACAAAAAATAAAGCAAATAATCGAACACTATTATATTAGGTACCCAATCTCCTAAGATTTTGACTTATGTGGAAAATGAACGCCCAAAGCTATGTTTTTCAAGTCATATAAAACTAAACAAAGCCGTAGTTAAAAGCAAAACAATTATCAATGTAAGAGCGAGTTATTAATCTGTATGTGAATAAAACACATTTTACATTGTTTAAATTATTATTTAGCTATGCACAATTCGTTAACAGACACGACAATCGTAACAAGATTAAATTAGTAGCCTAATAAATTTTATGAATTATGAACTCAAAATCACTAGTGAACATGATGAATGCTACTATATTGCGCGGGTAAAAGTTCGAAATAGAAAGACCCAGACATCTCAGTTTACATGTCCCCATTGAATCCCCTTTTATTGAACTGTGTAATGCAACGATTTTTAAAAACTCTCTGAGCTTCAAAAGTGAAATCCTTTGATATTAAAAACGCTTACTACTGGGAGAAGATGAACAATCTGAATGTACGTTTCTCCTATATTATTTTTTATTAAAGATAACAGTAAACATTAGAAAAGGCAGGAATATAATTTTTTATGTTTTGTATATTTTAGCGAATTTCCCATATAGGGAATAAGCTATTACCGTAGTACTCATAGTAAGACCTCGACCAGGGACCGAATTACTTTTTCGTGTTGAGGTCCCTAGAGGCCAAAAACACTATCTGTTCGAGTTTCGAGTTCATATAATATGTGTGTCTGTCCGTTAGCACCAGAACTTGAGCAAAAATCATCCGATTTTGATTAATTTTGGTACAAACATGTAAACCTTTGTTTATTTTAACGAGTTCGCGAACCAGTACGATCGGACTATGGGAACGGGGGTTTATGGTGTAAAATAAGTTTTTCCCATTTTTAACTCTAAACACATAACATTTTGCAATTTCTTTCCAAACCATTTTGAAGAGATAAAAAAATCAACAAATAATTTAGTATATTGAAGCGTTGTTATGCGCCTAATAGTAACGGAGAAAACAAATTTTAATTTAAAATTTGCATTTGATTCTTAAGGAGAATAAGAAAAATGTTGTAGTTTGCTTTTTTATGAAGATGTTCAATCAAATTTTGAAAATGCATTTATTTCATACTAAAACATTTTACAAAATAACATTTATTACTCTCCCTGTTGCAGTAAACCTAAGTACTCGTTAAACTAATGCCATCTAAATAGGGAATAAATGTCATATTGTTTAAGGAGATATTTTATGTAAATCCAATCAGGCAAATGAAAATTCCCTTAGTCTGCAGGTTTGCTGTGGCGGAGATATTTGTTTTATTTTTCTTGTGAATTATTTTTCCTGGAGAACCCACGTACGATGACATTGCCCTTTGTTATTTTCACAATCTTGAACATAATCTGAAAACTATTTACTATTCCTTCTGTTATAAAGGATAATTTTTGGAAATACAGTACATGTTTTCAAGAACAATACTTTTTTGTATAAAGTGTAAAAAGAAGTTCCAAAACGACTTTCTATTACCAACCTATGAATAAAACAATTAAAATGGAAAAAAAAGTACAACCATGTTAAAGCTAAACTATCATATTGTTGCAATTTTCCTTCCACCATGGTTGTTGCATAGGCAAGTGCAAAATGTGCTATACTAACAAAGGTTTTCATAGCTTCCACTCCCCATTCAAAGAAGAGTTTATTATTTTGCCTCATAATTAATTTTGACCTTTAGCTTTAATCTTAGACAACTACTGTTTATCATACTATTAACACACAATCACGGCGAAGTGCAGGTAATATCAGTGGTTATTTTAAGTGTGTAAAATGGTAAAATCATAGACTAACCAACACGAGAAGGGAGTATGTTTTATCTATGGTAAAATTTAACAAAACGAGGATTAGGGAGAAAATCCCTATCAAGAAATCCCACTCCCCAGAGCCTCACACCATTGACTAATTTTCCCTTGTCTGTGCTTACACCCAACTATTACAGATATCATTGTAATATGCTCTACCTACAGTACTAAAAAAGTGTATAAGCTTTATTAACAATGCTAATTTGGCAGGTCTTCCAGGGTCGAACTGTGACACTACATGGTTTCTAACAACTGCAGCCTTCCTCTTCCTTTACTTTTGAGAATTAAAAAAAAATTGTTTGGTTTAGAGGTTAGGTTTTTGAGTTTCTGTTATCTGTCACTTCACTTCATCGACTTCTTGTCAATAATAGGCCTAGTTAGTAGTTAATTAATTGCCAGTTGCCATTAAATAAATTTACATAGATTAATACAATTTAATCAAAATGTCAATTGCAGACGCATTGAAACCTAAACATGGTTCAAAGCATTTGTCCATGATTGTTAATGCTGAAGGAAAGGTTGTTCAGGTAATAAACTAAAACTTATTACTGCTTTTTATTTCGAAATTTAAAATTAGATTATTTATTGTGAAGATGATAGCTTTTATAAACGTTTAAACTTTTGTGATAAGAATTTCATATTGTAAATTAAACATAGGGTCTAGCCTGACATAAGCTTGAGTCTTGGTACCGGTAGGTAAATTAGAATATATTTGGCCTAGTGTAGGTTGTAATCTGCTCTCTTACAGCACAAAGAAGTAAGAAACAGGATATATTCATTGGTTCAATGGTGTCTAGCACCAGTTGGTGGTGTTTACAGCAAATTCTATTCTTTTTCCCCCTCGCCATCTCGTATTACATCGCTCATCCCTGTATCAAGACCCTGTGCGCAACGACTGCTGTACAACAATGCTATGTTGCCACTGCCGTTCCGGCTCTTTCTTGTTCGATACTTGTTCATTTCCACCCCAAAATACTATTAGCTAAAAGTGTACACTGTCCCGTAAGCATCTCCTGTATCTTACTAACTCTGTGCTTAACTTATGGGTTGTTTTTCATAACCTAGTCTCACTTTCAGAACTATTTTCAAACATCTAGTTAACTTATTCAATTTAAATTTCCTACATCCGCTGTTAACTTTCAATGGGGAGTTTCAAATTCCGCTAGGCCTATGTACTGTTTAATCTTCTTCTTCGTCCTTCTTGCAGTAGACTTTGTGTTAAACTAGGCCTCTTCAAGTACGGTAATTCAAAGTACCAAATAATAAAACATAATACCATATGGTAGGCCTATTAGACGGAGGCCACCATTATACAGCCCGCTGCAGCGGTTAACTTATGTTAGGTTGGGTTGTCATAAATTGAGAGTATGACTCATCTGGTATCATTCGAATCATAACAAAACGAGGAAAGTCCTACAAACATACACAACCCAACCTAACATAACCGCCACAGTCCGCTGTAAAATATGTGGCCTCCATATAATACCAAAGTACAACAAGTACTATATAAGTTACTATTTTACTTGACATCTGTGATCGATATAATTAGTCCTACGTTTGTTTGTTGTCCGTCAAAACATAGGCTATATAGCTCATGTAGAAACCACTACCGGTACTTAAAAAAGTTACATCCAAGTTATGGTACGTTTGATAAGTAAACTCATCTATTAGCTAATTTAAACATGAACGAGCATACACATATTATAACGCTAGGAGGTGAAGTTTAGTTGAACCAATAAAGTTACTCATAATAACAAAACTTTGCTTGTAGCAAAAGCAGTTTTTAGGTTCATAGGCCTAAAATAAGTAATTAAGGACAATAGCTCACATTTTCCTGCAAAAATCAACTAGCCTACGGTAAAAATGTTGATCAGGAATAAGATGCAATAGGTTAACTAACTAGTCAAATAAATAGTAAACTCTTACCTTAGCAATCCTTATTATGGTTGTCCGATATTAATTTCAAACCCGTAGGTTCATCTTCAGTCGGAAGTTTAGGTAGACCAAATGCTTATTATAAAATCCTAAACTTACGACTGAAGATGAACCTACGGGTTTGAAATTAATATCGGACAACCATAATAAGGATTGCTAAGGTAAGAGTTTACTATTTATTTGATTATATAAGCAATCCAGAGGCTGAAATGATAGTTAACTAACTAGCCCGGCCTTTTCCATTATTTACTACCGTACCGTGAGTAATGCTGATAATGAACCTGAGTAATGAAAGGTAATGCCTTTTTCCGTACCCACCCTATTTATGTGCATAAATTTCCAGGTCAAGATTTACATTTATGTAGCCCCTTAGGTCTAAAGCAATGAAAATGTCCTTTGTTTTAAATCTTTTGTTCTATTTCATTTTTTTATTTATTTTTTTATTATAAAAAGAGTTTGGCAGCCTCTTTTAACCTTGCATTTGCCCGTCCACATAGACTAACCGCCCTTGCTTGGATCGTATGTATATTGAAGCAAGGAATGAGCTGGTACAGTATAAAGGTGATCTGTACTGATAAAATGTTTTCGGCAGTGACTAGGATCTAAACCCACGACATCGCTGCCTTGGGCCCGAACTCTGAGACGCTACCGACTAAGCCACTGACTCACAAAATTATTGTCTAAATCGAATAAATACATTTTTTCAGGCAGAAACAAGAGAAGATGAAGAGCAATCTGTTAAGCAGCAGGAAATAATTGACTTGCTCTATGCTGCTGGATACTTTCGAGCTAGAATTAAAGGGCTCTCTGCATTTGATAAGGTAAGTTCTGTTTTAAATATCAGCTGGCCGGCAAAGGGGTTTTACACCTGTTTCATTGAAGTTGGAACAGTAATGAAAAGTAGATTTGGAAAACAGAGGGCTTATTGCAACATTATTATTAGGCCTATTAGCCTATTTGTTTATTGCTTACTTTGCATCAAAAAAATTATCATCTCTGAGGTCATTTAACTTATACAACAAATCCAAGTTTGAGCCAAACCATGCTCAACTTTTTACTTTTAGATTATCTACTTGGTTGGATGCTAACTAACATTACTTCTATATTAGTTATCGTTTAACAACTTTAAATGTACCATTTTACAGATTGTTGGCGGGATGACTTGGTGTATCGACTCTTGTGATGTTGATATTGATGTTGATTTGCTGTTTCAAGAAAATCTTACCATCGGTCAAAAAATGTGAGTTTGACCATACCAATACAGAATGTCCTAGCTAATAGGACTTCTCAGCCATAGGGTTCTGTTAAAATAAAAATGCCAGGTGCTGCATAGGTTGAATTCTGCTCATATGCAGCACTTAAAAAAAAAACAAGACAGTACAGTTAAAAGATAATGCCTAAATTAAAATCCATGTGTGCATAATGTAAGACTTAATTACTTACCTACCTAATTTAATCACAACTCAATGAAATAAGTCAATTCAGTACTTATTTCGGTATTAAAACACCATCGCCAGCTTCTGGTACATATGTAGAGTTGATCAGTAGTTAACATCGTCAGAAGATAAACTCAGTACGAAACGGCACGAACAAAATTATATGAATAAATACATAAAACAATAAAACATTTCAGAAACAGGGCCTGTTCTAACAAAAGATGACCAACCGCACAGGTAGCAAGGGGCAGAGTAGAAAAACTTTGTCGTCTATGCTTATCAATTAATTGTGTGAGAGAGAAAGAGACATTGGGCAAAGATCAGATTAGCTGTTGTTGGATGAACAGAGTTATTGATGTGATGAGCGAATTAAACATGGAGTGGAAACTGGACTGCAGTTTTTCGTTTAACAATATGGTCCCACAGGTTTTAATGTTTTGTATAAAAACGTTTTGCTAAAACTTTTGTATATTTCATACTCTTCCAGAGTGTACATCTTTTCCCTTTTTTTGCAAGTGTGTAGAATTCAAAGCTGTCGTCAATATTTCCCATTGAATGATTGAAGTCTAATAAATGTTGTGCAAAGGTGGATTTTTTTTGGTTAGGCTGGAAACTTTTTCTGTGCTCTTTAAACCTTGTCTTGAAACTTCGTCCTTTTTGGCCAACATAAATACTACATTCAGCGCATTTCAAGTCTGGTGTGTTTCTTCGAGTACAATTTAATAAGGTACTCAGGTGGTAGTCTCATCGTGAGTTAGTGGTCATACTGTGAATTAGTCGCAGTAATACCACGCTCACGCAGAAATAGCGTGCAAATTGGTGGTACTTTTTCGTCCACAGGGACGACCAAATAACTAATGATTAGGGATATAACCAAGGCCCCACTGTTGGAAAACAGCCGGTCATAGCTGTTATCAAGGTTAACCAGGTTATTTCACTTGAACAATCTTTGCCTATGTAATGCTTATAGGTACAAGTATGTGCGTCACTGTTTCAAATAGTGATTTTATGTTTCTTGATATCAATAACCTCTATTTATTGATCTCTGATTTTAACCCATTCAGTCTACTTCCTTTGCCACTTTGTAAACATAGTGCATAACGTACCTTAAGAGAGTTAACATAAAAAATACTACTGAGAAAGTTGCAAAATATACTTTAATAGGCTTTTGTTTTCCTTTTTCAGAGCCCTGACGGAAAAAATTGTTATGGTCTTACCAAAAATGAAATGCCCTCATCGAATAGAACCTCATCAGATCCAAGGGTTGGATTTCATACACATTTACCCAGTTATTCAGGTAGGAGGCCTATGTAGTAAGCAGTACAGTAATAATATTCTGTTTGGTAACAACTTTATTACACTTTTTTTCTGAATAGCCAAGAACAGCTACATAGCTACTACATTACACATTAGCTACTAGACAACATTAGCTACTAGAAGAATTGTCAGGTTTACATCATGAACATTGGAACCTCTGATAACAAGTCATCCTTGACAACAAGTCGCTCTTGATAACTGGTGGCATTTTCAAACCCCCTTGAATTTATTTTACTCCTAATCTTATGCTATTGCAAACCTAAATTAGAACTATTCAACCTTGATATGATGTCTTATTATTTTAATAATTACCATTAGAGTCTTGTTGTGAAAGTACTAACTATAACATAATATTTATAGACCCTTTCTGTGAAATACTTGGATATAGGATAGAAGAGCATAAATGTTTCAATTAATTAGCTATTAATATAAATTATGATAATGTATCATTAGAGGGTTTGAACAATACTAACAATATACTTAGTTAGGTAAGCTACTCTATGTTTAATAGTTTTAACTTATTCTGTATATAGTTTAAAATTTTATAGTCTAAGGGCTGTCTGTAAATTAAGGTCTCCATTGAGCTCTTGTCGAAACCAAGCAAGCTAGTCCAAATGCAAGACCAATGTTGTGTTCCTAACTTAATCCACTGCTATTTTAGCCGGTTTCCAGGTTTATGGGACAACTACAGTTGTCTTGTTAGTTTCCAAGAACATTTGTAAAAATAGTTGAAGCTTCCCCAAACAAGAATTGTGATTAATATTTTTGTGGGAAGAGGGTAATTTCCTTTTGTATTAACCCACTGGCCACTTGGACGGAATATATCTCTCTAGGTGGGTTATATTTATATATGTGGCCTATGGTACCAGAATTATCTAAAAAATTAAATAGGCCTACTATGACGAGACTAATTGTCCCATAGGGTTGTGATTGGGTTAGTATAGCAGTGGATTAAGTAAAGAACACAACATTAGTCTTCTTAGAGATGGAGACCTTAATTTTCAGACAACTCTTGTACATTCAAATCTAGTGGCTTGTCAAACACCTGATGGAGGGATGTAAGGAAATGTATCTTGTTTATTAGCTTACACATTTTCTGTAACAAAGTTAAAAATATTGTGTATCCAAATTTAGTGGCTTGTCAAACACTCGATGGAGAGACGCAAGGAAATGGGGGATTTTTTCCGATCTTATGCTGTGAAACAGTTTGAGAAAATGTACTCTCAGCCTGAAGTCGAAGCCCAAAAAGCATTCTGCCAAAAAGCACAACTCAACCTAAAAAATGTTCAGGTTAGTTTCTGCAATTTAATTTTTATTATTTTGCATATCATCAAACCTCTTTTATCCGATCTTGTATCTTTTATCAGACCTCATGTATCCATTCTTACCATTCTTAGGTCAGATAATAAAGATTTTTCTGTAGTTTGTTTATAAAACATATGTTTGATAAGTAAGATTCATGTGAACTATGACTTCTTAAAACTCTGTTCTGTAAGAGTATTTAACCAAACAACTTTAATAACACCATATCCTTATAATTAATACGTGAAGGCGATTTCTACGTAACACTACTCCTCCGTTAATAATGGACGGATTTTTACAAACAATGTGTGAAAATAAAGTACTTTTTGTGTAGACGCCCCCTTTCACCAATTCCTGTAATAAAAGTCCTCGGGCTTCACCCCACAGGCCATCAAAATCCCAATGTATTTCTTATGAAGAAAAGATTTTGTTTACTTAATCAGACGAAAAATTTGTATTAATTACAGCTGTTCATAGTAAACACATGATACACACAAGAGCCTTCGTTTTTCGAGTGAGTGAGTTTTCAGTTTCGATAACTGTAGTGGAGTGATTCATTTCATTATCCTAAAGTTGACTCTTTTAAGTCATCGGAAATTATGACTGTTATTCGTTTTGAAATTGTAATACTTTGCAATTGCTCGAATTCGAGCAACAAGAGCACTAGTAATATAATATTTTGTGTACGCAGGAGAAGTTTCGTCCGCAAAGAAACTTTCGCCGAACAGGAGACCCACCAACCAATATACTTGAGAGAGTGGAAAGTACTCTTTTTGAGTACGGCCATTTCCCTTCAGTTCCAGTAAGTTTGTCAAAAAGTTTATCCATCAACAAATATTTTTAATAGGCCTACATATTAAGTAGGTAGTGAATTTAAGATATATTAGCTAAATCAATTTATTTAGGCTGTAAGTCACTAGGACTGAATCTGTTAAATTCAAGCTGTTGGAAAAATGTCCCTAACTTAAAACTGTTTCAGTTAAGATTTTGTATATGATATTTTGATACATAACTCATAATCCCATTCAACAAGTTGATTTGAAAATCAATGAAATAAAAATGCATTTAATGTTATGACGAAGAGTTTATAATCTCCCAGGATCATGGGATATGTTAACAATATTTGCAGACACTTTCTGTGATCTTGATAATATCGTGAGAGTATTAAAGCTAGGCTTTGTTCAAAAGTCTAGCCACTTGCACACATTATAACACATTATTATTGGTTGATAACTTTCAAATGGTTGCAATAAATGTTTCCTACATATTGAAAACATCATTTGACTTTTTACAAATTAAATGTAGGCTATTCATACTTCATTTACACACGAGCAAACTTCATGGATGTGTGAAAAACTAACCAAGCCCTCTGAAGACTTTAAAATGTTATTTTTCTAAAAGTATGTTTGTACATGCGGTGCACCAATATGACCTCTCGCAATGGCGACATATCTAGGCCTACCTTGGTTGTGAAGACATCCTGATCCTCACTGTCTCATGCGGTGGCTGGGACATCATCATTGACAGCAAAAATCGATAATCAATCAATCTTCATCTTTTTTTATCACACAATCTTTTGGACGCTTTTAGCAACCAAAAATGTCTACTTTAGTAAAATCTCAGCTCAGCTCGATTTTATGATTTAGTGGCTTGATTATCAAGACTGTAGGCAAATAAAAAGTTAGTTATTAGTTATTAGTTAGCTATATAAATAATATAGTTAGTTATTGGTAAAAGATTTATTTTTATAAATCACAAGCTTAAACCCTTTTGTGGAGCACATGTAAGGTTACTTTAGGGCCTAATAGTAAAAATAAAATAAAAACTTAAAATCTGCTGTAATTTTCTAACTTGTTCAAATTTCTAGTAGTCAAGTAAAGTAATTTCAATACACTATCCAAGATTGATTTATGTCATAACTCATCAGTATTGTTCAAGCAAATGTCAGTAGAGTAACAGAGTTTAGACTCAATGTTTCTCAATCCGGACTGAAACATGTTGATAATATTTTCTTCGTATTCTGAAAGAATTGAGTCACAGTAATATTCTAGGCTCTCTAGATCTCCGTCTTGGATCACATCATACTCGTGTAATCTCGGGTTCATACTTCCCATTATCACCAGTGGAATCACTTCTAGTTTCCCTGTCTCTTTGTTGTATGCTCGAACATAATCACTCATTTTCTTGCACAAACGTTCCATCACATCCACCAGAAACTCTTGAGATCTTCTCATTTCAATTGGTTTAGCGTTTGATTTATTTTCTAAAATGTAACTACCCCTGGCATACTTCAGTTTTGGGCTGATGCTTGTAATTTCTTCGGTTATTTCCTCGACAACTCTTTGGCAAACTAAACATTTTACGTGTTTTCTGTCATAATCACCTAGCACTGCTTGAATAGTGAAAAGAAGTATGGCAATGGTGTTTCTAAATAATCTAAACATGTTTTTTACTCAATAAAAAAAAATTAAAGGTGCTGCATATCCTAGCTCATAGATTTGTCAACTAATTTATTAACAATGATTCAGTTGTCTAAAATTAAGTTTATTCAAATTCAATAAGCATTATATATTATTATTACATTAATTTAATGTAGCATTTAAATCGCTGCAGCAAAGCCTTAACAAATTGTTCATGATTCTTTTATTCTTACTTATCTATTGTTCACTGTCAAAAGGAATTAAACCATCATTTCAGGGTGAAATGGAAAGCTAATGAAGCAGTGATTTTGCCTGTTAAATTCATAACCAATAGATTATTTAGTATTTACTGATGATTTTATTTTCTGTCTTGCTATTAATTTTCAAATACTTTTGCAGGTAACGAGTGGGCCTGATGGACAAGCAGAAGTTACTCAAGTAGACGAGGTATTGTTGTTTGTTCCATTTGTTTTATTGAGAGTTGTTCGGTTGATTGCTAGAAATCATGCTTCTTTCCTTCTTTGATTTAAGTTTTTTTTTTTCCTTGATCATTTTTTGTGTTTTTGTATTTATTTTTTTCTACTTGATTTGCAGCACTGTAGGACCTACATATTGTTTGATAAGTGTAATTAAAACATTTTGTTTAACTTATTAGCCTCAAGTGCCTTTAAATTTTGCTCATAGTCAATTTTGCTTAGCAAAAAAAGTTGGTGCTTGAAACTGTCTTAATTTATATTTTAAAGTATTCTTGATTATATTTTAATTATATAATTTCTGTAAGGATCTTTTGTTCTTGTTGTACAGTCGAGTGTTTTAACAAGTTTGATTTTCTGTTGTTTGCTTCCTTGTGTGTATAGACTAGTCCAGTGGTTCTTAAACTGTGAATACTGTACTTAAGTATATGGGTGACATACTTTTTTATACTTGTAGCACACCTTCAAAGAGCAGATATAAAGTATTAGTTGTACAAAGTACTTACCCTATTCTCAGAAAAAGTTGTATTTGAACTAAACCCAGCTGTCCTGGATGAGAACAAAACAGCTGCCTTTCACACTATACGGTTTTTGCTGTCCAGTTGAAAACAGTACAATTTTACGTTGTTTCTATGTTTCTTTTAAATGATACAGTTTCTGACCGTACAGCGAAATAAATGTGTTTACAATTTCAAAATTAAAATAAATTTCGTACAATGGACAGGTCATATTGTAAACAATAAACATTGCAACAGCTGATCTATTTCCACTGGCTGGTTGCAGTATGAAAACTTGCGTTTAACTACATGCGCCACTGAAGCACAGCCACGGCATGACAACCATCCGGTTCAATGTGAATGGACGGTTACAAGACGGCACGGTTTTCTGCTGTCGCAGTAACTGTGTAGTGTGAAAGCTCTCATGCTCTTCTTTGTACTACTAAAAAATAATCATGAAAAAAAACCTCAAAACCCGTATAGGGGGAAAGAAAAGTACAGTACTATCACTGCCTACTATCCGAAGATAATATCATTAATGTTGTAATAATTTAATTGTTAATAATCTGTTTACTTTTATCAGTTCTTTCTAAACCATGTTAATTAAACCACCAATTAAATTTTATTTATTTTTCATTGAGAGAACTCTAATAATTACTATCAATCATTTAGTAACAGCTACTGATTATGTTTTAATTTCATACATACTAGAGGTTGTCCCGTGGTCGAAAACTCAACCAAAAATATGTTATTTACAGTCTTCTTTATTTTCACCCCACACTGTAAATAAAACATGTGATTGGAATTTCTTACATTTGTTTTGATTTTCTGTTTATGATTCGTTGTTATTTCGTCACCAGCATGGCAACCCATAAAACCCATGTTAATTTTTTTAAATTTCAAATTCATTTTTTGTGCTTTTTTAGCCTATTTGAATTTTTAAAGGGATTCTGCACATCTACAGGAAAATATCTTTCTAACAGTATGAGTAGATTTTGCTTGCGATGCACACGAGCTGAGAAAGAAGGTTTTAAAGAAACATGCTTGCCTCTTAATATATAGATAGATAGTTTTTATTGTGAACTCTTTTTCGTGTCCATTCTGTAAAGTGTATCCTTAAAACAAGATTGAGAAGCAGTAATATTTCAAAACTCTTCATAGTAGCCTAAGAACACAAAGTCCTGAAGTTGTTGTTTTACTAAGATTGGAATGTCTACCGGAGTTTTCTCATTATTGGGAGTACTGACCTTCAAATATACATCGTCAGGCCCCACACACTGTGATGAGACTTTTGCAAATCTGCTCTAAGATGGTATTGTATGATGAGTTTGGGAACCACTGGCCTGTTGTAAAGTCAATTTTGCTTGCATGGTTGTCAGTTTATCTCTGTACAGGACCGTTCTCGGAGGTTGATGACATCAATGGCCTCCCTGCCAGAACAAGAGGTAAGTTGATAGTGTGCTTCTTTAGTAGTTGTACTTTTTAACTGAGCATGTTGATAAATTGTAGTTAAATGTGAGTAGTACAGTAAACAGATCCAAATGTGCCGTACTGAATTGTATTGTAGGTTTAACTTAGTTTTATGTTGGGATATTCTATAGTCTGTATTATTGGACCTTTCTTTTAACCCACCGTCTACCTGGCCTGGGTCTTAAACCATTGGTTAGTCCTTGGTAGACAGACACAACATTTTTGTATATATTTGAATTATGTTTTCCAAAGGGCATTTTTAATGTCAAGAACGTTTCACAAGTTAAATGGGTAACTCAACTCAAGAAGTGAGGGTATGGAGCCAGAGCCAGGTTCCACTACCCAGAGTATTGTTCAGTTCAATGGGAACTAGAAAGTGTCTTAAAATATGCATAAAGTTTACAAACAACTTTGGCAGTTTTCCATTCATGTTTAAAGACCTACTTATTGAATCTTTACTTTCTTAGAGATATTATTTAACTAATGTTTACCTTTTTGGAAACAATTCCAATGTTTCTTTATAGGTTTCTGATGTTCAAGTATTTATTATGCCAATATTATGTTACATCATGTTTACACACGTTCCCGATCGTAACACCCCCCCACCACCATCTTGTGTCATTGTATTCGTAGGGTCGTGTGCGTGTGAGTGTGTCGTCGATGATGTGTTTGTGTGTGGGAGGGAGAGAGAGAGTGACTGAGTGAGAGAGTTGCATGAGAGAGAGAGAGAGTGAGTCGGCTCGCCGCTGGCCCACAGGGACAGAGCAGTGACCGCCCTTTGGGGCTACCAGCCGCCTGTACAGGCCCTGTAGTGAGTCGTTGCATGCGTGTTAGGTGGGTGTTGTGCGTGCGTGTGGGTAGAAGTTGTATGAATGGTTTCCAAGTCCCAGTGATTTTTGACATTATTATCTAAATACCTTTTTACTGGTTTTTTATAATTATTTTATTATAATTACTTTCCCTTTTTTTACACCTTTTAGTTATTTCCATAATATTTAAGTTATCTGCTGTGGCTTCCCAGTAAAATTGTTTTTTCCCTTTTTGTAAATTAGATTATAGATTATGTTAGATTATAGATTGTAGAATATGATGACTGATTAACTCGTTTCCCCACGCACAGGCTCTGCCTATGTGGGGAGGATCCATTTTTGTTAGAATTACTGTTGTATATTTTGATTCATGGAATAAATGATGTTTGATTTGATTTGATTTGACCACCGGCCTTACCGATGGCGTGATGTTAGTCTCTTCTCTTGAGGGATCACCATTACCACAACGATACGGATTAGAGCCATGAGCCTTGGTGGTGTAGTGGATAGCGTGTCGGACTTATAATCTGAAGGTGCCGGGTTCGAATCCCGCTGTTAGCACTAACTTTTTGTCAACAATTTTTTTCATATCAGCAAGTTTGGTTAGGTTATAACAGTTTAATTTTATAATTAAAAAATTATGAAATTGAATTTGAGACATTTATAATTTTACTTTTAGAACAGAACTATTTTTTTTTCGATTAGTAAACCTTCATTCGAGTTTTTCGTTATCAGCAAGTTTGGTTAGGTTATGACAGTTTAATTATATTTAATTTAAATTTAACCTACAAACAATACGTTTTAACAGTCACAGTGATAGAGATAACAATTTGCCTCAAACAGTAATGCTATGCTGATGCGCCGGTATGATTCGGTTGATGCTAAGCGTACGGCATGGTGCGGTAGAGGGGGGTGTTACGATCGGGATAGTCTCGTCATAGAATGGATCGGGATAGTCTCGTCATAGAATGGCCTCCTTTCTATTTCTATTCTTCAAGTCCAGCTGATGAGCTATTTTGTTTACCTAGGTCAGGTCAAGTTCAGACCTTTTGTTTGACCAACAAAATGTAACCCAAAACATTACGGAAACAAAGATTTATTGAATTGCATACAATCTACTCTATTCCGTTCAGTATTTTATAATGTTATAAAATACCATTCCTCTTTAATTGTGGATTATTATACAAAATGTAAGGTCTTCAAAGAAATAATTCCTTTCATTTTAAATAAAATTAACCAAGTAAACTTAATATATCCTTCTATTCAAACTTTGATGGTTTGGTTACCTTTACATTCAAGAAAACGCATCCATTTAGCATGTTGTAATACAAATTTCAATGTCTCAACGTAAGCTCGCATACGTCCATAAATAAGACAGTGTGCAATTTCTTCACTCTGTAATGCTTAGTTGAGTGTGCATACAGACGATACCAGTTTTACTTGTCTTTCTATAGAGAACGCTATACACTCTGCTGTTGCCCAAAATAAACTTATTGATGGGAGATTGGTTTGGTGAGAACACTACAGGTCCCCAGGAAGTTTGGCTCAACCCCACCTGAATTTGCCCCAAAAATATTGGGAATCTGCAGACTCCTTAAGAAATCGCATAAGTTTATGTTGATTGAGGTTGTTCACGGGTGATATGTCCACAGGTGCGTGTAGGTGCAGGTGTAGTAGGAAGCATCGTGAGTCTACAAGCGGATGAGATTGCTCGAGCGGTCGAACACTACACTGAACTTCAGGCTCAGGTAGAGGTTAGTATCTATGTGATGGACTATAAGATATATCTAAGCCAGGTGTAGCTGCTAAAATTGTGTGGAAGTTGTTTTTGTAACTATAAACCTATTGTCCTAGTTATTAGACTAAAAAATACCACTCAAGCCGCATTTAGGCCACCAGTAGGCATCAAGGTTACGGGGCAGGTTACCTGCATGCCTACTGGATTTGTGTAAACGCGGCTTGGCATGAGTACAGCTCCCATAAATATCCTTGGTCTTCTGGTAAAGTCTCCAATACATTAGCTGGCTCCCCAGATGTCCCCTTAAACCCATAGAGTTTTAAATTCCATCCCCAATTTTTACTGTACATTTTTCAATGTTTTTGCATGAAAATACATTTTCTAAACTCCTACAAATTTACATCGTGATAAAAAGTATCGTTCAATACTCGCCACAAAAGTTCAATTTCGGGGCGAGATAGTGTTTCCCATGCTCGTCTTCAACTCGCATGTAAAACACTATCTCGCCCCGAACACTTTTGTGACTAGTAGTGAAGTATACTATTTGTTAGATTAAGCACAAGTGAGGTAAGAGATGGTTGGAAGTGTGCTGTTGATTTTATCTTGACAACAATGTATCATGTAAAAATACGTAAATACTTTGAAATATTCTTTGCAGTCACATTAATAAACATCGCCAAATTCTGGATATTGCTGATAAAAATCCCTAAAAGTTCTCCAAATTTTGTTTACTAGGTGTTGTGTGAACCCTGTCTTTGTATTTATTTAATTTTTGTTATCATTCCACAATTTGCCGAGTTCATTTCCCACAGACATTTTTTTTAAAGACCCTCCAGTTACTTTTACTTTTTACTACCAGTTATTTTTAGTTTTTAAGCAACATCTCATTCTTTGCTGGGAACTAACCATATAACCATTATAAAGTCATTTTCTTATTTTATCCATATATTTGCATTAGGCCCTACTTGATTCCTCTTTTCATTGCCATTTGAAATCTTCTAGCTGAGTGAAACCAACCAACTGCAACGACTGAAAATCAAGGAAACCGCTTTAATCGAAGAAAAACAACGGCTAGATCAGAAATTGCAAGAAGAGTCTGATCGACTAGAAAGGATACAGGACAGTTCAAATGAAGATTCCCCTTCACACATGCTGACTGAGGCAGAACAGGGGTAAGTATAGTTTTTCATTTTATTTAAAAAGTGTTAACATTAACAATGATGTAACTTTTTTATAACTAATGCCTATTTATTTATTTAAATTGAGATTATCTACACAATTTATAGCTTGGTAGTATAGTGGTTACAGTGCTCTCTTGACAGTTTGAAGGTTGCCAATTCGATCCTGAGAAAAGTCAGCTTTTTGGTAGTTTTAAACTGGGCCTAGCTGTGCTTCATTATTCTTTTGAAAAATGGTCCTGATTAAATAAATTGCTAATGTCAGTTAAATCGAGTCCATAGTATTTGTGTTAAAATATGCCTTAGTTGTTAAGTTGTATAATCATAAAGTGGGATAGGTATTATTTATGTTTCGTTAACTTACATGCCTTTGGAATTTAGTGGTTAGAATTAATGGCTCCATGACCCCATGGCTTAGGCCCACTGTTGTGACTCGAACAGGTGGCCTGGTATTATTTGTACTATTAAATACGCACACTGGATAAGATGTAACTAATATTTGTTAAATTAACTAAAATAAAAGTGTAAACATCTGACCATTATTTGAAAATTACATACTAATTAAATCACGTGTTAAGACAGATTCAGGGATATGACACCCACCTTTAACTGTAGTAACTGTTGGTTTGAACGCTTGAGAATAGCTTATAAGTTATAACTGAAGTTTTTACCTGTTAGCAGTGTATAAGGACATGTATTGCTGTCAGATATTTTGGAGGTGGAAAGAAAATTCTAACTAAAACAATTTTTTTAGGATATTGAAGAAGTTGCAGAGCCTTGTGACAACAAGTGAAACATTGAAACAGCAAGAACTAGAATTCCGAGAACAGTGTAAAACTGAACTGGCCACCCTACAACAGCTGATTAAGTGAGTATATACGACCGAACTGTTAGTAATGTTTCAAAGTTGATTGATTTCTAATTTGAAATTAAATACAGTAATAACAGATTGTCTTCATTTTGTTACTAGTGTTAAAGGTTTTGTCTGATTAGGTTTGTCACAAGGAATCCTTTGAATAAAGGGCAAAAACTCATGCTTTTGCAAACTGCTTGACCTTGTCCATTTTATATATTTCAAAATGAACTCTTTGTTACAGCCAATGAACTACAAAACACTAGAAAGAGCAGCGTCAAATGTAAAGTCGATCCCGAGGCCATAAAGATGTGCAGTGTTTCTTCGTTTCTTACTTTACCTTTACAGTAGGGTGGCCCAATTGTTTTGCACATTTACTAGTAGAGGAGGTCATGTGCAAAATCTTAAAAATATGGGACCATATGGTAATCATCGCCCAAAACATGACCACCAAAAAATGAAATGAGTATGCAGTATATCTCTACTGTTTGATGCATTTCTACTCTATGCCTACTGTTTATTTATTTTACTGCACATTTCACAAAAATAGTAAACTTTTAGTTAAGGGGTTAAGGCTACATTAGCATTATATGTCATATAGCTGGATGTGAACAACAACTAGCACTTTCCACCGTAATAGTAAGTAGTAAAAACTGAGAATATTGACAAACACTGTCTGATTGCCAGCTTGAACTGTCTCACTTAATCTATACAATTTCGCCACTGACTGAAAATGTAATAACCTCTTCAGCGCAGTGTTGTTTCAAGCTTGATTTGATTTTGTATTCACACGTGTGGTTTGCCAATGTAGCGATAAGGCAGAGTTCAAAAGTCTCTAGAGGCCGATATCTGTTTCTTCCGGAGATATATTAAATTCCACACAAAAATTCAAATTGCAGAGAAGCGGAGGAGACTGAAGCTCCGGACACAGACTCTGAGGAGAGTGAGAAGGCTATGGAACAGCTGACTCGCAGTGTTGCTGCTACGAGGGTAGCACTGGCCCGACAGACCCGAGCAGTGGCAGCACTACAGCGACAGCTGGACCAGGTACCGTCTCGTGCAGAACTGGCACAGTACCAGCGCAGGTTCATGGAACTGTACAGTCAAGGTAATACACTAAAAACTGAAGTAGACATACCATCTCCATTGTCCTACAGTAGCCATGTTTTTACCTTAATCCTTCAGGTGTCTGCCATTTTGTTGTGTTGTCTTGGTTGATTTCCTGGCAATTAACATAAATATTTATTAACAAATCGACTTTTTAAATAACTATAACTTTTGGGGTATTTGACAAAAATGGTCAATTTACACAAGCACATTCTGTCAGTGGCCCAATTCATCTGTGCCAATGTTTCTGAAACTTGGTACAACTGTTATGTGGGAATAAAGTGTATAGTTAGTTATCCAGTCAAAGGTAATACATTGACACGTTTTAAAAGTAGTACAATGCAAAATTGTAACAGTTGTATACAGTTACAGTTTTCCGAAAGCGTGACTCAGTCGAAAATCTCAGGCTCGCACAAGAATGATTAGCCATCATCCTAGCAAATTGCCGGACTTTTTTCTGACTCAATTTTGTTTTGTAACTAATTTTGTCAACTTTTTTTAATTGCAGATGCATTTTGTCAAATGTTGGGGTCTTTAACCCTACTTACCTGTAAAAAATAGAGGTTAACCATGATTAATATAGGAAATTTGTTCTAGTGTCTGCCAAGCACAGGGAAACAAAGCAGTTTTTCACACTATACAACACATTGAATGATAAGCACAGTTTTCTTAGTAAGGAATTGGGATTACTATCATCCATCTCGGACAACTATAATGAGTGAGTATTTTTAAATATAGGCTACTTTTAGAATGTGTTTTCGTGGTTGGCCCCAGCAGGTTGTTTTAACGGAATTGATTAGAAACCGGAAATATCACTGAAATCAGTGATGCTCCGGATTGCAGACGGGATAGGGCAGGATTTTTCTTTCAGCCCATGTTAAATGAAATTTTTGGGAAATGTAAATATTTTAAATAGCGCTTTTGTTTTGTATTAACATGCCAACAATAAAAATTGAACTAAAAACTTATACTTAAATAAATTTTAAATAGTAAGAAATCAACAAAAATTCTGATGATCCTGCACTTTTAATAATCTGCCATCAGTATAAAGGTCTAAACATCTCAGAGATGGGTGCCATGGAAAGGCATCAAACAATGGGCTTACATCCCAAAAAAATCCCCACGGAAAATTAAACAAATTTCTATCCCTAAAAAATAATAAAATAAAAATATATATTTTTGTTTTGATCAACCTTACCAAGAACTCCTGTTAGCAAGTGTAATATATTTCCTTTATTCAAGCCCTGAATTACAAACAGATTAACATTTAGAACATTTATGTCTTAATTTTATTAGTTGCAAAATTATCTAATATCTAGATGTATTCCAACTTTGTCTCATCCTTATATGTATTTGGAATTCTAATACCACGCCAACATTTTCCAGAGCAATGGCATCTCAGGCAAGCAAAGAACAGTTTGTCGAACAACTTGAGGGCATTCTTCAGGGAATCGAAGTCAGCAAAGCAAAAGTAACTATATACTAATACTACCATTGACTTATTATTATTTTTATTTCTTTTGCTCGTATCTACGCCAGTGGCATTTTAGTTATGAAGTAATTTCAAACACTTTTAAGGGAAAGCGGTCCAAACCCATTAAAGTTTTGTGGATGTGCCGGGGATTGAACCCGTCCCTCCCGCACCGAAGTCCGAGATGCTAACCACTAGGCTAGCAACACAACCACTACTTGGGTACTGAATATTGATATTGGTTGTATTGATAGTCAAAGATACTACCTTAATCTGTTCAATCTAGGATTTGGTGAACTGCCACATAGTATACACCCATATAATTATGCAGATCTTAGTATGGCTCATCACTCATCGTCCAACAATCTCTGAAAGGAATTAGAATAATTCTGCTCTTCTCTCCAATAACGAGCTTCCTGGAGTAATAAAAAAATTCATGATGAGTCTTGAATTTTTAACAATAATTTAGGTTGGTAATACTTTGATCTTAAATTTATTTTTGTTCTGCTTGTAACTCTTAAAAGTATTGGTTTTGAAGATTGGTAAGTACATTTTATGTATGTATATTCTTAAATAAAGATTGTCTATGGCTACTCTTCTAAGTTTGTTTAGTTTTTAGCGAATTTCCCTATAGGGAAGTAGCTATTACCGTAGGTCTCATGGTAAGACCTAAGCCCGGGACCGATTTACTTTTTCATTTTGATGTCCCCAGAGGCCAAAAACACCATTCGTTCAAATTTTTATATATCTATATATAGATATATATATATATGTGTCCATCCGCACGATAACTTGAGTAATTTTTGTCCGATTTTGATAAAATTTGGTTTGAAGGTGTAAGGCGGGATAAACTTGAATGAGTTCGCGAACCAGCATGATCGGACTATGGGAACGGGGGTTTATGGGGGGTTTTATGGGGTAAAAATAGGTTTTTCCCATTTTTGACCCTAAAAACACAAAATTTCACAATTTATTCCTAAACCATTTTGTAGAGCTTAAAAAAACAAATAATTTAGTATATTGAAGCGTTACTATGCGCCTAATTGTAACGGAGAAAAATCAAAAAAATCGTAATTTTAAGATTCCCATGTAATTCTTATGGAGAATAGGCTAAGTCAACTGTTGTAGTTTGCTTGTTTAAATGAACATATTTTGATCAAATTTGGAAAATACATTAATTTCTTACTAAACCACAGTACCTTTTAATATTTTACATTAAAAAAAAACATTTTTACCCTCCCTGTTGCAGCAAACCTAAGTAATCATTAAACTAATTCTGTTAAAATAGGGAATAAATGTGATATTTTTAAGGAGACATTTTAGTTTAAATCCAATCAAGCAGATGGAAATTCGCTAAGTCTGCAGGTTTGCTGCGGCGGGGGTATTTAGTTAATAGTAGGCTACGTAAATCTACTTAAAGAGTGATTTCTATTTTAGGTTAAGAAGAAGTTGCTGGAAGAGAGAGATCAGAGGGAGAGACTAAGCAATGTTAGGTCGGAGCTGATAGAACAGGTGAGGTCAACTAGGCAATTAAATAAAAACTCAATAGACAAAACTAGAAAAAAACCAAAAGCGAAAAAAAAATATTTTGTCTATGTTGTATACTGTATATAGGAAGAACGTAGAATAGTAATAAGTGAAGCTAATTGTTCATTTTTCTTTCACGCACTAAAAAACAGTTCATATCTTTAAAGTAAGCCCATGTCTGTAAGTGTAACTTTTAAATGCTATCAATCATAGTTTAATGAATGTTTACAACGTTTAAGAATCTAGTTACTATTAATGAAAATCAATTTAATAATGGACCAGTTGATATTTTTTTTCATTTTTCTCCAGTAAAGATTTTAAATTGTTTGTGAAAATTGTTTAAGTAGTATTAAAATAAATTCTTGATGCTATAGCTTTATGATTACCAATAACAATAAATATTCCAAATGGTGTACACATCCCCAAATGTTAATCCCTCAAATTTTGTCCAGCAAATAGTTCTAGCAGATTTGTGATGTGTGCAAATTTGATGACCTAATATGTTAACTACAGGCAAGACAATGTGTGGCAGCCTACAAGCAAGCAAGCCTGGAAGCCGCCAACAACGAAAATCTACTCAACAAACTTCGTAACCTGACGTTATCCCAAGGATAATCTAACATGTGTCATAAGTGCCATTTAAAAAAATGAATAGCTGAAAAAATCACTATTGATTGTAGAGTCCGCATTTTTGTTTTATTTAATAAACAAACCAAATTTGATAAGCAGATAAATGAATAATGTTCAAACAAGAGATCTTAATATCATGATTTTTTTGCAAGTGGTCGCCTCGTGGATGAAAACTCAACCTAAAATATGTATTGATGTTTTGATTTTCTGCTTATATTTTGTTGTTATTTCGTCATCAGCACGGCAAATCATAAGGACTATGTTATTTTTTTTATTTTAAATTCATTTTTTGTGCTTATTTTTTAGCTTTTTTTTAATTCATTAAGGGATTCTACACATCTACATGCAAATATTTTTCTAACAGTAAGTTATGTGTAGATTTTTCCTGCGAAAAGAAGTTTTTAAAGAAACATGCTTGCCTACATATCAACATAAAAAATGCCGTTGAACGTTGAACGCATTTCACTGACCATATTTCATTTCATATTTCCAGTTTTAACTGATTGTAATTTTATACAATGTTATGTCTTTGATGTTTATTATCTATCAATAAAGAATTTATTATGTTGCTCGTGAAACCTATAAATCACTTCCTAGCTGTTATTGTAATAGTAAATTTTAGTAAAAAATCAATTGGGAAATAAAAGAACACAGATACCATCAACACTATTATAATTTAAAACACACAAACAATATAAATATACTTTGGAATGACGCTTATAATATCGCGTGAACACATTGATTTACAGCATGAGGTTTGATCATTTGATGTAAATGCATGATAGGTAACGAGGTTTAGAGAGGCACCTACTATCGGAAGCACACTGTCAGCGAGTAGCGGTTAATTGTCCCGTGAAGGTGTGTACTGTTTCACGGTAGCACTCAGCTGTTGAGCCAACTCCAGGGACGCAGCACACAACACTTTACCACTCATCAAGTCAAAAGGACTCCCTGAAAAAGATTATGTGCTCAATAGAAATACATTTTGGTGCTTTGAAGTAAAACTCCTTATGTTATCTACAAAGGGGCGAGTCAAACCATAGAATCCAGATTTGTGAGACTACATTACATTATTTTAGTTCTTATTCTCTCTCAAGACATTTAAGGTTTTTTTCAATCTGTATGCTACAATAAGTGCAGCATGTGAAGCATCTATCATCTCCGGGTTGGCAAGTAAGTTTCTCACCTGTAGGGTCGATGACCACTCCGCCAGCCTCTCTGACAATAATGTCCCCAGCGGCCATGTCCCACGCGTGGATCCCCATCTCAAAGTAACCGTCAATGCCCCCTAGAGCCACATTGGCCATGTTTAGAGCAGCTGAACCAACTGATCTCATCCTGCAACAAGAAAATTCGGTTACATTCTTAAGACAGCGCCACTTGGCTTAAAATACCTACTTTGTATGGTCGCCATTTCAAATAAAAGTATTAAAACAGTATCTTATGTATTTTAATATGGAGGGTAGAGATAGGCAAGTCTTGAAATTTCGGGACATTTTAAATCGTTTTAAAGCTAGGACTACCTACTAAAAGCCTAATCATGAAAGTCGTATATTTTGGAAATCAATTTAACCCTTTGCGGTCGTATTATTCTCTCTGTTTTCATTCCCTGTAGAACAGGAAAGCCACACTTAGTGACTCTCTCCATTTTGTTTAATGACGCGACATTGTCAGCACACCACTAAATGTAGCCCCCCAGCTCGGGCTGGTCACCCATAGTGGCCCTCTACGCAATTTCCTGTTCAGGAATATTTAAGTAAAAATCCAGAGAGGTAAATGGAAATTTGCCAAGTCTGCAGGTTTGCTGCTGCGGGGGTATTATATACAGCAATGGACTCTTGGATATGTATTTTAAGCTAAATATGAATACAGTTTCGGTTAGCCAAAGTTTCTGTACACGCGACCAGATCTGGCCGGGTCCAGGCGGGGGTACTTTTGTGAAAACGTTTGTGTCCCCTGCTACTCACTCACCCCTACGGGTACTGCCAATAACCTGTCCCATCCGCTAGCACAGAAGTTTTTGCCGAACTGTAACTTTTGTAGCTTTGGTAGTAGCTATGACTGTTTTTAGGTAGGTTTTATTTTGCTAGGATCGTTTATTCAAGAACACCTGAGCCCAGTTTCAAACAATCAGAAAGCTAAATGACTTTTCTCAGGATCAAACCACGGATCTTTTGATTACCTAAACTTATTTAGACAAATTGCTAAACAAGGTCATGTAATTATGGTCCAAGACATATTATAGAAAAAGCTATTGTATAACTGTGTGTTTTGTGGCTTCGCATAAGCTGATAACATGATTTACAACATCAACTTACCCATGGGCAAGAGGGTAAAGTATTTTGACGTTCTCTTGGACTACTCTCATTTTTTCAGGATCTCGGCTTGATCCAAATTCCATAGCCAACAGAGCTTCAGAAATAACTGAAAAAAGTATATTTTTTAATATGTTAGGCTATCTTCCTTATATATAATACGTGAAGGCGATTTCTACGAAACACTACTCCTACGTTAATAATGGACTGATTTTTACAAACGAGGTGTCAAAATGAAGTATTGTTTGTGTAGATGTCCCCTTTCACCAATTCCTGTAATAAAAGTTTTTGGGCTTTGCCCCACAGGCCATCAAAATCCCAATGTATTTCTTATGGATAAAAGATTTTGTTTGCTTGAACGGACGAATAATTCGTATTAATTACAGCTGTTCATAGAAAACACATGACATACACACAAGATAGTTCGTTTTCAGTTTCGATAACTAGAGTGTAGTGATTGATTACATTATCTTTGAGTTGACTCTTTTAAGTCATCGGAAATTATGACTGTGTTATTCGCTTTGAAATAACACCTGTATTACTTTGCAATTGCTCGAATTCGAGCAACAGGTACACTAGTCTCCTCTAATAAAAGGCAACCTTTGGTATGTGGCGTCGTAACGGCTGGCCTATTGCCATGGTAATGTATAAACATTGCACAAAGATGCTACATTAATTAATGCAACAGCGGTTTTGGTAGGCCGGGATTGCGGCGTTGCCACTTTAGTCTCGCTGCGGCCTTGTATGAGAATAGGCTGTGCTAAAATTCACTTAAACGCCATGTAACATTGATGTTATACAGCAGTGGAAGGATGTGGAGAAGAGGAAAGTGAGGTGGCTGATTGAGGGACCTGGTCAGTAAAAAGAATATCTATGCATGAAACTAAAAGAATGGACACACTAGTTGAACATTAGTTACCTTTTTTTCCAGAAACATGGATAGGTTTATCATTGTAAAATGCTCCTTGCCCTTTGCGCGCTGTAAAAAGCTGTTCCAGTACTGGGTTGTAAATAATTCCAATCTCGGTTACTTTGTTTACCAATAGACCAATGGAGATGCATATGTTAGGGTATCCGTGAACAAAGTTCATTGTTCCGTCAATTGGGTCTATGATCCAGGTAGGATCATCTGTTAATGTTATTTTATGACCTTCTGCTGACGATTCTTCCCCAATAAATCTGAAAAAGAGTGTTTATGTGATTAATTTACCAATTAAAATCAAACATTGCCTTCCAATTTAGGTTGTAACTAAGTTAGTTATTATCGTGGGTCTCACAGCAAGACATAGCCCCCCTAGGACCAATTTACTTTTTTTGTTTTGAGTTCCCCTGAGGCCAAAAACACCATCCCTTCAAATTCATAGTTATTATGTATGTAATAATAATATCTATGGTTCTTACCGTCAACGCAATCAGGGGTAATATTCCACTACGGCAGTTTCGGAGATGACTCCATCGTCAGGTGCGTAGTGGTACACTAAACTATAGTCTTGTCACATTTAACACGAGTTTTCTTCATTTGCATTGCGTCAGGGGTTGAATAAATAATACACATATATGTACAGGACGGACACACGAAAACATTTAGAGCGCGTACACGGCTTGAAAACTGGCGACCGACTCAGTTTCTCACTTTCACTTCGAGTCGGTCGTCAGTTTTCAAGCCGTGCACACGCTCTAAATGTTTTCATATATGTGTACATATATGTGTATTATTTATTCAACCCCTGACGCAATGCAAATGAAGAAAACTCGTGTTAAATGTGACAAGACTATAGTTTAGTGTACCACTACGCACCTGACGATGGAGTCATCTCCGAAACGGCCATAGTGGAATATTACCCCTGATTGCGTTGACGGTAAGAACCATAGATATTATTATTATATTTTCACACAATCTGCCACACACAAGAATATATTATGTATGTGTCCGTTAGCACAACTCAAGTAAAAATCATCTGATTTTGATGCAATTCGGTACAAACAAACATGTTAGCTAACTTAGGTTTATTTGAACGAGTTTGCGAATCAGCATGATCAACTGGGTTTCATGGGTTGAAATGGGTTGTTGTTGACCCTCAATAATACATTAATATACTTCAACTTGGTTAGTTTTAAAACCATTTTTAGAGTATAAAAAACTTGAATATTTGCATATAGGCTACAATAAATGGCTGCGGAAAAAAGTAAAAAAAGCTGTAAATTTGAAATTCCTGTGTTATTCTTATATAGAGAATAAGTAAACTGTTCTAGTTAGCTTGTATTTATGGATATAGTTTGATAAAATTTGGACATTTTGTTTGTTTTATGCTAAGCTACCTAGATTTCACAAAAAAAAACCCGTTTACTTTCCCTGGCACAGCAATCCTAAGTACCCATTAAACTTTATGTTGTTTGGATAGGGAATAAATCTGACAACTTTATGGTAATTATTTAATTAAGTGCAGGTCCAATCAGGCAAATGTAAGTTAACTCTGTCTGCAGGTTTGCTGCAGCAAAGGTACCTAGGTAGGTATTTTTTTGTCGCGTCAGCTCGAGATTGTTCAGACCAAGGTATAAAGTTTAACCTAAGGAAAGAAATTCTTGAGCACATGTGGTCAGGCCAATTCTTTTTTTTTATGCAAATAAAGTTTTATTTAGCCTATCTTATAATTCGGTAGGACTGCAGAGAGAAACTCAGGTACTTATGTTATAAGCAATACACAGTCTTTTTGAGTGACTGCTCCAAGTTAGTACAGAGGACTGATAAATTGACTAGATTAGATTAGAAAAGAAATGATCAGTTTCTCATCACTTTTCAACTCAAAACACAAGATATAGAAAACTTGTAGCGAGTTTTTTGCAAAAAGTTATTTCATTTATTTATTTAGTTAATAGTTATTTACGGAAAATCCATTTTAAAAATAAATTTGCACAGCCACTGTTGTGCTCGATTTACATGTGAGGTTGAATAATATAATAATACCTAAGTTAGCAAATAAGGAGCATGCTTAAGTAGTGAAACAATAGAGTAGTTATTAAACTTGTGTAGTATCCTTCATACTTTCTATGATCAGCTGTTGTTATTAATTATGAAACAATGTAGTTCAATGTTACCTTTTCAATTTACAATTTATAAATATTACATTCAATAAAAGAGTTTGTTCAAATATGTCCAATTATTAACTCTAATTCAAAGTCACAATATAATAGTACTTGGGTAGACTTCCATATCTTTGTCAAAAACAACCGAATGAAAATATAGATCAAAATTGATTATTCAATATATCTATGGTTTCATTCGATATATCGTTTGGTTAGTTAGGCCTAACCTAACCAACCAAACGATATATCGAATGAAATAATCAATATATCGAACAATCGATATTTTCATTTGGTTGTTTTTAACAACAGATACGGAAGTCTACCCTAGTACTTAACAATGTGAGACAGTTGTGAGTAGAATATACAAAAATAGAGCAGCTATGAGAGTAGGCTACAATTACTTGACACATGAAGACATGACTTGTACATGTAGGTAATTTATTGTGTACATGATATTATGTACGGTACAATAAATATGCTTACAATGGTACTGAGATTCCAAGACATAAAAAAATAATTGAATACGATGAGACATATTATAAGTACGGTACATAGATTATGAGTAATATGCATATCCTGGTGCAATGGACAATTACGGCCTCATGCAGTTATGTTGGAGTCCACCATGATTACACAATGAGTAAGTTTAGCCTAACTTATCTATTTAAGTTACTTAAGAAGTAAAAAATATAAAAAATAAAAATATATTTCTGTAAAAAGGGCAGAAAAAACTGTAAGCACAGTAAAATCTTAACTTACTTGTGATCTGGAAAATGAGATGTAATGTCATCAATTATAAATTTTTCCACTTGTTGGTCGACTTCAGTGACAAAATCAATTGCACTTGATTTTGTCTGTACTGTTTTAACATCCCATATCCGTTGTCTAATAATCTGTAAAAACAACCATCAGTAGCTTTCAGCTTTAGGACACCTTAGGCCTACCTTATTCCAGTAAGATAACTTAGCTGGCTGATGAGTTTTTGCAGCTAAACTAATCTGAAGATTAAAAGTTGTAGCTTAGTATATCAGTTTTATAACTTATTTCCAGTGGAGATGCAATCCACCTCCAAATATTAAATACGCAGAGGATACGCATCCGGTAACTGGACGTGGATTAGGCGTTCGGTAGTTACTGTCATAACCTAACCTAACCAACCAAACTTGCTGTTAATGAAAAAATCGAATGAAGGTTAAATTCTGTTCATAAAATAAAATTATAAATGCCAAAAATTCAAACAAAAGATGAACAGTTAAGAAGAAATGGAATTTAAAGCAAAATCTTTGACAAAAAGTTAAAGTTACCAATGGGATTACAACTAGGGCCTAGCCTAGGAACCTCTTGCATATCAGCCGAGCACTCTATCCACTTCACCACGAACACCGATGGATGTAGGCTACATCATATCGATGTGGTAATGGTGTTCCGGGCCCCCCACAACACGTTGACGTCACTGCCGGACGCCTAATCCGCGTCCGGTTACCAGACGTGTATCCTCTGTGTATTAAGGCCTAAATAGGTTAAGGTGTTAGGTTAAATTAATGAATAGGCCTACCTATAGGCTTAAATGAATGATTTTAAATTTTACCGAAACATGATAGACCTAGTTGTTAGAAATAAACTTTGAACTGATCAATTAGGTCAATGATAGACCAGACATCCTAGATTACCTAGAACCATTTGTTTTGGTGATGTAGGTAGGCCTAGGCTACCTACTATTTGTTCAAATTACCTTTCCAGCCTCTTTTGTAATTTTCAGAACTGTTTCAAAGTATTTGTCCAAATTGTGTGCCATTTCTACCTTCCCAATTAGGCCTAACACGAAACAATCCAAATGGCAACTAGGCCTAAAATTTAAACTTTTTAAAGTCAACGTCAATTAACTTAAGACATAAACTTCTGAATAACCAATAATGTCAATAATAACAAGCAGACAATAAAGACTTCACTGTTCACTCTAGCACTACTTGACTTTGACAAATTGACCTACACTACTCACACTGCTTACACTAGTGACAGTAGTGACAGTGACAATGACAGTGCCTGAGTTATATGAACATTAATAACATTTAAACATTGACGATTGATTTGAAGAATATTGACTGACAAGACAACTGACATAAGGAAAGACAGACGACAATTCGACAAAATGAAGAAGAAAAGTCAAACAGGACCCTGTTTAATTTTTCTGTGCTAAGTTTTATGACATGCTATGTAGCTGTGGAAAACCACTAAATTTACTTAACTCTAGCAAGGAAAGTGGGGGAAAAACTTGAACAAATGATTGCTTTTATCTCTATATAATCTACAGGTAACTTGTTGATACTATTTTGGTGAAAAGACTTGGTTACTGTTACTACATTGGGTACCTATTTTGATAGAGGATACAATTTTAGAATAAGTATATTCTCTTATAGATTTATTATTATTATTGTTACCATTTATAAATCTTTGACAAATTTGGAACACCATTACCACATCGATATGATGTAGCCTACATCCATCGGTGTTCGTGGTGAAGTGGATAGAGTGCTCGGCTGATATGCAAGAGGTCCCTAGTTGTAATCCCATTGGTAACTTTGTCAAAGATTTATAAATAAATCCGGACGAGCCCCCTTTCTTAAGGACAGCGGAGGCGAACAACCACAAGTAACAAGTAAGTAACATATTTGAGATGGTGGCGCCACCTATGTGCGTATTTTAACCCACTATGAGTGAAGCGATAGAATGAAGTGTGTGATGCATTGTATCGATTGTATATAGCTTATTTGTAACTGACTAAAACCATCTTATCTAGTCAGGACAATAGATAAAACATAGTCCAGGACCATGATCAAGGATTTGCCATCCGCTTACAGATAGTCGGAGATGAATTATAAATCTACGGCCGGAGCCAGCTTTATATGTCATACCGGTAACTGATATATAGAGGAGGAAATTAATGGTACCTCCGTAATAATGATGTATAGAAGATGTGTTGCTTAGGCTTCATAATAGAAGAGGGGTAGACAGGGTCCTGGCAAGTCGACCGAAAGCTTATTGTGCATTAATTGAAGACCCTCTTCCTTTTATTATGTATATGAGATGTTCATAGTATTGATTTCGTATCATACTCAGTTTTTGATCAGTGTGTGCAATTGACCGATTGAAAACCATTCATTATTCGTCACTTCACATCTGCGCTACGGAATTGCAGCCTAGGGATCAACAGCTCAAATGAATATGGAAAAACTGTTCACGTTAAAAAAAGCAATCAGAAACAATAACAAGATCAGAAGAATCAACCAATCACAAGCCCCTTTTCATCCAACTCAATAATGACATTAATCTCACTTTATATCTGCGAAACCATAATCCTTTACCATCCGATCCAATCCAACCTAAGACAATAGTAGCACACCACAACACCAGAAGTAAAATAAACATAAATATACCTCAACATAGACTTCAAAAAACAAACAACACACCCACATACTCTGGATCAATGTTCTACGCAATCAATTACCCCAACATCTAAAATCAAACACCCAATTTTGGAAAAAAATTAAAATTGTACCTAACTGCATAAGGCCGTACGACTCAATAAAAGAATACATAGAGGAGCACACATACACAAAACATAAAACATAAATACACGAAACCCGAAACACAGAAAACCCCGAAAAAGGAAGATAGTTGACGTCTCCCCGATCAAACGATTGTGGCGAGGAAACCGGAAGTAAGAAGTGAGAAGTAAGTGTGCCAAATAAGCGGTAGACTGCGAAGGCATCCGAGAAGCATTCAGATACAGAAAACGTGAATGAGGTTCTCTCGAGTAAAAGCATAGCTTTGTTTTTCGAACCCATTAACCCATTGAAATACTCCAGGCCACGCGGTAAGAATTAACTCACTTCCCTAAATGGCATGCATAAAATACTCCCTAGGTAAACGTAAAGCACAAATTATGAAATTAACGCTAAAATAATAGAAACAAAATTTTGTCGACACATGCTTGGTGATCAGAGTCACCGGACATGAACTATTAAAAACGAGCTTCAAAATTTACAATGGGATGAGAAGTCTACTTTAGTGTTGGTTAGTCTATGCCTATGCTGCATTATTGCTTCCTATGTGCAGCAGGATGAGGAGAGAACCGGTGACTGGACGGGGGAGGCGCCACACATACCTGTTGGAGAATTTCCTTTGATCCTTTCGCATAACATATATATGGGTGAGGTTAGATATGTACTGCTTGTACTGTAAGTTTGCTACGCCCCTTCTCTTCAAATCACCGGGTCCAGATAAGACAATCAGGTGATTATAGTAGAAAACAGCTAGTATTTCTGCAAAAATGTCTACACATCCTACCATCAGTGCTTTTCTGTACGCTGTTTAGGACAAGCATGGCAATGAATTAATGGGTCTATTCAGTATGGAACTATTCTCGTACAGCCTCTTCATCTCCGTACCTCCAATATCCCCCAGCTTAGTGGTTGTGACTATGCTTTGATACTTGTATAATTGTATCCAATGAGTATATTAAATCTATGGCATAATTTACCTAATAACCAATTTATTTTGCACCATTAATTAATTGTGTATACTCACACTTGTCCATTCCTACCTGGAAAATAGACAGCAATAAATGATATCACTTAGCGGTGCTCAGTCAACCTTTGCCAATCCAACATCATGGCGTTCCTCATAGGGATCAGTACTGGGACCAATTAATTATATTTCTGGTCTCAATCAATGACCTAGACTTAAGTGGCTCAGCACTTAAAATCATTATTAACTAGACATCCTCAGATTGAAACTAAAGATAATCTGCTCGGTTTCACCATTGAGCCCAAACTGAAAAATGGTCTGAGCATATTGAAGTCGTATGCAGAAGGTTATCGAGAGTTGTGTGTCTGCTAAGAAAGTTAAGCTGGTAACACCACAATACCTATACTGGTCGTCTATCAAGCTTTTCTTCCATACCGTGCTGAGCTACGGCCCGCTGCTTTGGGGGCATGCACCTAACTGCCAAGAAGTTCTTCTAGAGTAAAAGAAGGCTATCAGGATAACAACCTTTAGAAAACGATTGGACCACTGCAAGCCTCTTTTTATAGAAACCAAAATTTGTACAGTTTACAGCCACTTTGTTCTCCTATGTGCATCATATGTAAAAAACATCATTCAAAATTTTCCGACCAGAAATACATTCCATACCTACAGAACAAGGCATAATCAGGAAATAGACCTTCCCTTTTGCAGGCTCTCTAAAACTAAAAATGCTTTCCCGACCATAGCGCTCAAGATTTACAACAATTTGCCCCAAGAAATTAAGAACCTTGAAACAAGGAAGCTTAATAAAGTTGTTTTATCTATGATAAAGAGTTGGTTAGTCTATGATAAAGTGTTGAAGGCATGGCTAGTAGGAAGGCTAATCTATAGCCTGGATGAGATTTTTTTTAAAACTAAACTGAAACTAAATTGAGGCTACATCCACCACCATAAGTAACGTGTACATATGTGTAAATAGTAACATACAAGCGTATCAGTCAGTATTTTATTCAATTTTATTAATTCTAATTGATACAACCTATCCGGCATAGCTGGTCTTGGTGAAGAAGAAGGTAATACGTGTATACTTAATGTATGCACTTAAAATAATTTGGACTAAGACCTTGTAGTTGGCAGCATTGCTAAAGAGAAAAATAAATCAGCAAAATAGCAGAAAACAATAATGTGAAAACTGAAAACTCATTTCTCAAGAAACTGAAAGTTGTGTTTTCGTTTTGGATTCATCATAGAATCAATGAAGATTGAATTAGAATACCAAATTGTTTTAGAAACCGATTATCCTGCTCTCGATAATTACCTATTAAGCTAATTGGTAGTTGGTTATCTTCACTCCTAATATCAAAATCCTTGTTCGGTAACGACAACAAAAATGTCCATTCGTGCATTTTTAAATTGTTTGTTTTCTCCTAAACTTTACAAAGTGTATTCAGGAAGAAATAACCAAGTGAGTACATTTTACTGGATGAAATTTTCATAGCGAGGCTTTTAAGGTGGTAGGGCTAGTGGACTTATTAGGCCTATTTAAGCCTGACATCCTAGGGTTGAATATAATAATTCAACTAAAATAATTAAGTTAAATTGATGTGTCAATCATTAAGTTAAATCTTATTTTCCAATCCAATTAGCCTACGGTACCCTAATTTTCCAATTTTGACTAAGTTAGGCTTAGGCCCAGTCCGGCACAACTTAATACTTAACTTACTTCATAGGCCTAGCCTACTTGGTGAACTCTCTCGTGAACCGCTTCATGAGAAGTAAGTCATTCTAGGCCTACATCTATGATCATGGTAGGCCTATTTATTCCGTATAGGTTTTAATTGTGATATCTTACTTTATAGTTTTTTACCTCCTGAATCCAAATATACCATTATTTTTCACCGCTGATGAATATTTCTCAAGATATCGCCGTAAAACATTAACATTACAATAAACAAGATACGATGGATAACATTTCAAGTGATTCTGTAGTCAAATAACTTAATGTTCTCTATAATAGGAATTTTGTCAAATTATGGAGATATAGATGGACTGGTGGACTAATTAAGTTACATGTAGTTCTTATTTAGGCATGTCAGGGTGGTAAACTTAGGTCGTGCTGTATGTGAATTGGTGACTGCATTTTTGAAATAGTAATTTGAAGTGTTTTTTCTGGATTTTAATTTTACAAAAACAGTCTGCAGGCGACATAAACTAACAACTTGATACATTATAACCCCAACTTTAACTTAACTTACCTAATCTAACCTACCTTCAAAGAACTTAATGCAGTCACCAATTCACATAGGCCTACAGCACGACCTATCACCCTGACATGCCTTTTCTGACATCAAAAGGAGTTTGCTTACACATTCTAGAGGTTTGGTTAGGTTAGGTTATGTTAGAATAGCACCATTTTATTACTGTAGGTAATTTCCAAACGGCGAAATATAAATCAATAATAAGGATAAAATACTGGTAACAATAATTAATACATTATTATGTAGCCTAACTTATTGGTCTTAGAAAGTGAAAAGTGTAACTTAATAAGGTGATTTTCATATTACAGAATCAGAGTTACCCTAACTTAGCTAATTAAAGTTGTCACTTCCGGGTCTGACTTAGGGGAGGTACGAATGAGGCATTAGTTCAAAATTCCTCCGTGAACAGCGCTGTAGTAGAGAGTACTTTGACAAAGAAGGTTTACTAATCGCAAAAATAGTTCTGTTCATAAAATAAAATTATAAATGCCTCAAATTCAATTTTATTATTTTTTAATTATAAAATTAAACTATCATAACCTAACCGAACTAACCAAACTTGCTGATAATGAAGTAATATAACAAAAGTTTATTAATAGAAAAAATAATTATGTTTATTAAATAAAACTAGAAATTGCTCTACTAAAATTTTATAATGACTTAATTATAAAATTAAACTATCATAACCGAACCAAACCAACCAAACTTGCTGATAATAAAAAAATCTTGGACAAAAAGTTATTGCCACGAGCGGGATTTGAACCCGTGACCTTCAGCTTACCAGCCCGGCACGCTAACCATTAGACCACCGAGGCCGATGACTACGGATCGTTTTGTTACGGTAATGGCGTTCCCTCAGCTAATAAGAAGCCCACAGCTGTCATCGTAGCCTCTTCTATACCTCCCCTGAGTAAATACCGTCACTTCCATTTTGCTTGACTATGATTGAAAACAATCAGCTGTTGGTTTACTTAACCCATAAACTTAGTTCATTCCACTTGTAAATGCCATCCATCCTACCTTGTTTATTGTAATGTTGTACCTATATTATTACGGCGATATATTGAGAAATACTCATCAGCTGTGAAAAATAATGGTAGGCTATATTTGGATTCAGGAGGTAAAAAACTATAAAGTAAGATATCAAAATTAAAAATTCGGTTGGAGACACCTAACTTATACGGAGTAATTACCATTGCTACACCTCCGAGGACATTAACTCCACTGTGCTTTTGAGTTTTACTAAGTTATAACTTAGGTGCCTCCAAAGAAATTTTTAATCCTGTTACCGTATTCATAACTTAGTTTTTACCTCCTGAATCCAAATACTTAGGCCTATACCATTATTTTCCACCGCTGATGAATACTACTCAAGATAGGCGACTTATTGCTGTACAAATAGCTAGGCCTAACTTATACAACATTAGAATAAACAAGGTAAGACCATAGACAAAAAAAAATTAAATATAGACCACCAGCTGTGCTGCGGTTACCATTGATTCTGGCGCAATACCGCTGGTAGCGCCATGTAGCCTTGGCGTTCACACTACGTAACTACACGGTGTGCCTCATAACCTTTGGTAACCATATAGTAACTTCAGCATCAGCTAGTCTATAAAATTCTTTTTGTCTATGGTAGGACATAGCCTATGACATTAAACTTACAAGTGGAATGAGCTGTGAATGAAGTAAGATAAGGCTACTTACAGCTGATTGTTTTCAAGTATTTAAGTATTAGGTTACTGCCTATATTTGTTGTATTGCCCTTTAGTAACTAAGATTTAGTTAGGCCCAGACCTAATCCTTGTAGGTAGGCCTACTTGATCTGTTTGAAGCAGCGTTAACTTCAAAGGAAATTGCTTGAAATTTAACAAAAAAGGAAACTAATTTTAGATAGTAAGTAGGCCTAACATAACTTAGTGTAAATTGTTATTTAACTTAAAAATACTTTGCTTTCAGGGTCTCTATGAAGCAGGCAATTTTGAGAAATGGGGAGATCAAATCATCACATCTGTAAGTTAAGTAGGCCTCCTACGGTACCTAAAGAAATTAATAATTTAGGCCTAGGCTTATAGGCTTAAGTTAAGTTACTTCTATTGTTGTAGGCCTATTAAGTTTACTGTCCAGCAATTTAAATTTGACATCAAGTAAGCAGCTATGGCTAGCTTCTTCCGTTGGAAATTAAATCAAGATTTATGTCCATGAGTAACTTAACTGGAAGCAAGATAACATCGAGTCTCACTCACTAACATATATAAGTTTCACCGTAGTTAATTTAATTACCGGTACCTTAAGTTTTATAGGCTACCTACTTTATTAAGGCTGCTTTAGGCTTAGGGTTAATTATAAGTTAAATAAAAACATCAAGTCTCTAGGTCCTAAGTTAATTGTTGTGCCTAACTTTGATGTTTTCAAGAACCGATAGCCTGATATTTAACTGATTTTTCAGATGTACATCATGGGCAATGTTGCAATTTACACTTCTCCAGTTCTCACCTACATACTCTTCAAGAAAGGTTACTTCCAGCCAGACGGCCTTGTGACACTGACCAAATTTGGTGTTGGCGTAATGATAATATTAGTGGTGTCATACTGTCTACGCAGCTATGGACGGATGACTTCTCCAATGTATTTGGAATTCCAGAGAGTTCTTGCCGAGGCTCAGAAAGATATTTCGAATCCAATCAACAAGGTAACTAACATATTGGCCTATGTATTGGTGCTTTAATACAAAATAAAATAGGCCTAGCTTATTGATAAGTTATTTGCTATTATTTTTGAGTTCTCAACTCAGCAATTTAGATATTGTATAAAATATCTTAGTTATTATTAAGTGACTCTTTGTTTCCAGAAAGCAATCTCCCAGTACGACTTTGAGTTCAATGCTTGGCCTGCGGAGTTCCAATGGAGTGATGTTGAAGGGTAGGTTAATAACGACTTCTAAAGGACTGTTCACACCGGCTTAGCCAGACGTATTACTACTTTTTCAGAATAGGAGCTGACGTGGCTCTTAATGTTTTTTATAGAGAGTGTTCACACCGTCGTATTTATACGTAAGCTGCGGAAGCTAAGGCGCTGCCGCTACGCCGGCTAGCGTCCCATTTGCACTCGTTTCCTGGGCTGTCACAGTCACCCTCAAACCTGTACCCTAACCTGTATGATCTAAACTTTTCAACATCTATACAGGGTTAGTAAAAAGTGTGGAGACCCCCTGTTATTTTTTTAACGGCCCATACTAGAAAAAATAAACTCGGCACACCTTTATGGCATGTTATGAAGTACTTTGGGCATAACCGTCACTTGGTGTACATCCCCAAAATGGGGGATTTTGGGGGAAACTAAAAAATTTCAAATACAAAGACCTATCGAGTAACCCCTCATTTTGAAGTTCCTGGTAAAAGAAAACCAAAAACGCAAACTAGAGGTCTTTATCTCAATCTAGTAAAAAATGGCAGCCAATTGAAATTCTCAGAAGTTGAATTTAACTTGCAGCTTTCCAAGTCTGGAAACCCCCTGTAAATTTTGTAGCGGCTCACACTAGGAAAACTAAACTCTACACACCTTTTTGGCATGTTATGAAGTACTTTTTAAGCCTAATACCCACTTGCTTCCTAAACCCAAAATGGGGGATTTTGGGGGAAACTCAAAAGTTTTAAATGATAAGCCCCATCAAGTGACCCCTCATTTTTAAGGTCCTGGTAAAAGAAAACTAACAACGCAAACTAGAGGTTTCTATCTCAATCCAGTAAAAAATGGAAGCTGATTGAAATCTTTAGAAATCGGAAATAACTTGCAATTTTATATTCAATTGGCTGCCATATTTTACTGTGTTAAGATAGAGACCTATAGTTTGCGTTGTTAGTTTTATTTTATTATGACCTTCAAAATGAGGGGTTACTCGATGGGGCTTATCATTTAAAATTTTTGAGTTTCCCCCAAAATCCCCAATTTTGGGTTTGGGAACTTATGAGAATTTCAATTGGCTCCCATTTTGTACTGAACTGAGATAGAGACCTCTAGTTTGCGTTGTTGGTTTTCCTTTACCAGGACCATCAAAATGAGAGGTCACTCGATGGGTCTTTGTATTTGAAATTTTTTAGTGTCCCCCAAAATCCCCCATTTTGGGGATTAACACCAAGTGGTGGTTATGCCCAAAAAGTACTTCATAACATGCCATAATGGTGTGCCGAGTTTAGTTTTTCTAGTATGGGCTGTTAAAAAAATAACAGGGGGTCTCCACACTTTTTACTAACCCTGTATATATAAAAGGCAAAGCCCTCACTGACTGACTGACTGACTCACTCACTCATCACTAATTCTCCCACTTCCCACTTACCTAGGAGGCTGAAATTTGGTACACTGATTCTTTAGGCATTAAATAGGAAAACTAAGTGGTTTTTATTCGGACTCTCGGGCTCCGCCCCAGTGGCTCTGGAGTTTCCCATATTAACCTAATGAGTACTCATATTTAAATGGAATTAATGAATCATAACAGCTGTTTCAATTAAACAAGTTGGTTCTCTTCTATGATGTTCAATAGCATTAAAGTTACAAGGATTACCAACAGAATGCAGCACTATTATTTTTTTTTTATATTTGACAACAGCTAATTTGAAACCAAAAGGTGAGTGAGCGTAGCGAACGAACTTCAACCAGGACATGTGAGCGCAGCGAACGAGCTCCAACCTAAAGGTGGAGTGAGCGTAGCGAACGAACTTCAACCAGGACGTGATTGAGCCATGCGAACGAGCTCATCACATATGAAGTTCAACGGGGCAAAGCCCGCGGGTACAGCTAGTTATTTATAAAGCCGGCATTACACAGTTCTTTAATATATTATCTTTTATCAAATTTATGATGATACTAGTGGCCTGTAGGGGCATAGCCCCTAATTTAGACGCAATTGTGCATATGAAGGCAACTCCCCATTTCGAGGTATTAAGTTCGAAATATATCTATGAATTTGTCTCTGAAAATTAAAACAGTCAGGCCCATTTCCCGGAATCTCTTTTTGTGTAGCGGAAAGCGACGTAAAGGCCATTGCACTGTTGTATTGCCTTATGTTTTTTATGAAGTTAGAATCGTGTGAAAACAGTTATTTTAGTTCGTCATTTACTTGTGGTTGTGGCATGTTAGTGAGTCAATTGTGGCAACATGCGTTGATATGTCCATTTGTGGCCTCCTCTGCGAAGTGAAATGCGCCACAATGCATGCAAGTGCTGTTAAGAGGATCTAAATTTTGAGAAACAACACTCAACTCATTTTCCAGCGTTCTTCTTAAGGCAGGTTGTAAACCAGCTTGTTGATTTCTTTCATAGTTAGGCCTTACATGACGTTCTCTTTTAGCATTTCTTGTGTCAGTTGAATTCCTGGATACTCTTCCACGTCTTGCAGGTCTTCCCCACCCTGTCTAGTTAATTTACTCATTATATAAACGGAAAACAAAAAAAATTTAACACAGACATTTTATTTTCAAACATTATTTAACAACATTGACTTTCGGAATAAATGTAAAAATTGCGAATAAATAAGTAACAGCTGATTAGAATGCAGTCGTTTTTCAGTCCATGCTTTTCTTATGGTGGATATTTTACGTTATATCTCGTTTTCTGTTAACTTTGTGACAATTTTGCTATTTTTCCCGAGTCTTTGGGGTCAAGACCTTTAATTTAAGACCTCTCCCACTTTCCTGCAACTTACCAGACGTCCACAATTTTCTGGTAAAGATTTTGTCTTGCAGAATTATAAGGATTATAGGTATGATGAAAAACCATCGTGTGAAGTATTACTTAAACATGTTTTGCCATTTACGGTGTCATATTAATTTGATCACGCATTGTTGTGTAAAAATGGATAAATAACAATTGTTTGCTTTTGGTGCTGGTTTAAGCTCTATAATCACTGATTGTTTATTGTTACGTAAAAAAAAAACGTCAAATAAATAAAAGAAAAATGTTGTGGGTATCCAGACATGAGCAGTTGTTGTGAATTGAAAGCCATATATTGTAAGAACTAAAAAGGAAGGATCCAAAACCTTACGAAAACTACCTATTTAAAAGTATAGAAGGAAACGCTTTTTGTTTTATTATAACAAACAAGTCTATAAATTGATTTCATGGTAAATATTCATTTGAGAAACATTTTCTTCAATTAATTGGATGGATCCAATTAGATCTTTGGGATTCTGAACACAATTTGCTGAATATATTATGGAGTGTGGCATTGGTGGGCGGGGGATGGGAAAAAGCAGTGGTGGCAGTAGCCGCCAGACGTAGCTGCGGTGTGAACAGTGCACGGGTGACGTATTAATACACCGAATACGTCTGCAGACGTCTGGCTACGCCGGTGTGAACAGGCCTTAAAGCTGTAGACATATTCCTAGTCTAGTAAATACCTTTTGTTTTAACTGTAAAGTGATTTTTGTTCTGACATGCTGCAAAAGCCATTAAATAATATGATTCTGGATTGTCTGCAGCATAGGGAGAATTGGATCAAAATTTAGATTAATGCAAATTGCGTTGATATATTAGTTTAAACATTATTAGATTAAAACATGGGTTTGTTAATTACCTGTAGTAATTTGTTGTTTTTTTCAAATATTTATTTACTTGTATTAAAATTTTTGTTATATTAGTTTTTCCTATTATTGTTAAAAAAATTAAAGAAATGGTAATGAAATGTGAAAACCTATTTATTTAATACAACAGATGGGGAGAATAGCTTGTACCAGATAAGAAACTGATTGGAATCTTTGTGAACGGACTTTTGAACTGGACTCTTATCTATAGCTGCGGACAAGCCTACTGAGGCTTTTGTAGCTTTGTATGAAATGTATTTTGATTATTATGTTTTTTGTTGCATGAATAAATAAATAAATAAATAATAAACTACACCACGTGCCCTTGTTTGATATTGTTCCATCTTATCCTTATTGTTATTTTACTTTATCCACAGAGAGAAGGATCGTAAGCGACTTACAGACTCGTCAAGTAAGAGGTCCATGGACCGAGGTATTCTGTATGCCCCGTGTTCCATACTCAGTTACCTAGCAGCACATACCTTCGGCATCAGGCTTATATACCCAGGTGCCATCGCTGCTTTTAGTTTCATGATGTGTAAGTACAGTTTTAATTTTATACATTTTAAAATTTTTTATTCATTAAACTTGTTTTTGAATCTTTTTAAATACAATAGTTTTTTGATGAAAGTTAAAAACTATTCACCATGAATCTGAAGGAGGTTTTTTGTTAGTTTGTGGTTTAAATCAAAATTTAGAATGATTGGATAGACCTAAGTAATACATGTAATAGACTATGATAATAAAACTGGAAATTGTAAAAATAACAGCGAAGTATGTGACCAATAACATAAGGCCTTAAATTGACTTGAATCTCAAACAATTTTCTGAAATTACGTAAAATTTGTTTAAGTAGGTCTAACCTAGTTTTTTTACAAACTATTGTTATCAAAGATTTAAACATTCTTTATTTTGTTGGGTAAGTTTTCATAATTCAAGTTAATGTAATCAGCAATAATTATCTATAGAGAATATTACTTTTAAAAAGTAGGTTTGAATGTAATGGTGTTGTTTTATATTTGAAAATACTGCAATAGGCCCTCCGATCCTCTTCGGATTATATTACAGTACAAACTGTTTCAGCTCCTGTTTTAATGCAAGGAAGATCAAAACTAGTTGAAAAAGATGAGGGCGAAAGATACAAACTGAAAACCAGAGATAACAACGAAATTGACTCCATGTTTGTTGACAGAAGAAAGAAAGGGTAATTAAAAACTTAAAAACGTACTTTCGATCTTGAAATTGATCTTATGATTAGTGTTATTTTTTTTCCTTTAACTTAAAGAAAGGAAGGTGACTTCTAACATAGACCAATCAATACAAGTAGGCCAATACTTCTCGACCCATTGTAAAATCTAAAGCTCATTTTTCATGTCTAGTTCATGTTGGTGACACTGGGTTATCAACATTCGATGGAATTTAATTTATATTATTTCAGGGTTAATTTTATGATTTGTGCTTTATTGTTTGCTCATATAACTTGCGGCCGAGCTATTAATTGTTTATTATTAGGTCTAGACTGTATTATTTAGTTAAACTATGTTTTGAGAGACTGAAATAACAAGAAACAAACTGTAAACAAAAACACGAACCTAGTGGCATCAGACAAAACCAATATGTAAATCGTCTTCAGCTGATCCATAAGGAAGACAAATCTACCTAGGGAATATGTTTACTTTATTCTTGTAAATTTTAAACTGTTAATAGGCCTAATTACAAAAAGAAAAAATCAACTTTCTTTTAATTTAGAACATTTGTTGTGAACTTTCATATTCGCAAATATTTAGATGATTTCTAGAACCAACAATGGACCTTTATTATTGAACAATATGTATTTTGGCATTAAAATAATCAAGAACTGTTGTTCAGTCAAGTTGCCTTTGTTTTTTTTGTATTAATTTTATATGTCTTTGTTTTTAACAGTCCATCTGTAATTCCCATCACATTACCATATGTCAATTTTCATTGTTGCACTCATTCATCGCGAATCACCTCTCATAACAACACGTACTCATTATTTCTCTCATAAATTAAACCTCTTTTATACCAAAACCCTCGACCTTTTACTCTTTATTATAATAACACCGCACATTTTTGGTCCTTCGAGCCGGATTTTTGGTCCTACGAGCCGCGGATTTTGGTCCTTTCGAGCCGCGGATTTTTGGTCCTTTCGAGCCGCGGATTTTTGGTCCTATTGAGCCGCGGATTATATCTACGAAATTAGTGCGACTTTTTTCAAGTTAATTTAAATGTCTCGGTTGAACGTATTTCATCCAACGTGAAGCCGCCAAGGACAATACCGCATCGCCATTTTGAACTTGTCATCTACGTCACGATACAGTCCACACTCCTCTCATTCCAAGTGTTCAACTTCGTCATCAAAACTGCTAGTTCCGCTCTGCATTCATCTCGACTCGACTTCATTTCGTCTACATCGCATCGCAACGTCAAACGTCAAGAAACTCAAAAGTAAGTTTATGTTTGTACTTCGAAGACAACGCACCGCATCTCATCGTAAGTTATTAAAATAAATCAATAACAACACAAAAATAATAAAGAAACCCTTAATTTATTCCTCAGTCGTCCTTATCCTCAAATTACTCCATCCATTTACAATATCTAGACTACTTACTGAACTCATTGAACGATCTAGGCCTAACTTCCAAAATGAGATTTTCCACATTTTCTAATAGATGCAAATTGCAATTAAATAAATTAAATACGATCAGTAAGTATATTCAAACATGTCCATCAGAAATAACAGAAGCTCAAATTGCTAAACTTAACCTTTATTTGCACGAAGCTAAAACCATTTCTGCCAATTTTGAATCTAACCTAGATAAGCTTCTTGACGTTGATGACGATACTAACGTTTTTTCTGACAATGAAGAAGCTATTTTAAAGCTCCAGAACGACATAACAGAACTATCAATTAACATTCAAACCGAAATTTCTCTTCTTATTCAGAACTCTAATGATGAACACTTGGTAATTAACTCGGTAACATCAAACCCAACCTCTAGGCCTACTACTAGCATAGTAAAATTGCCTAAGCTAGAACTGAAGTCCTTCAATGGTGACACTAAAACATGGATATCCTACATTAACCTTTTTGATACTACTATCCACAACAATAGTAGCTTATCCCTTGTTGAAAAACACCAGTACTTGATAAGTTCTCTTGAAGGCGAAGCCTTACACTTAATCAAATCTTTACCGATCTCATCTGGCAATTATACAGTAGCCTATAATGCTTTACGGGAAAGATACCACTCAAAGCGTAGGCTAATCTCTGTTCACCTCAGTAAAATTGTCGATTTGCCCAATATTACTGAAAAATCTATCAAAAACCTCAGATCATTTTTAAATGAGTTCAATGAAAATGAACAAGCTCTTAGTGTTCTTGACTATAATGTCATGGAAGACAACTACCTACTTAGTATGTTGATCTTACGAAAAATGAATTCCAACCTCTGTCAAGTTTTCGAATCAAAACGCATAAATTCTTCTGATTTTCCTCAAGCTAGTGAAATAATCAAATTCCTCAAAGATTTTTGTAACAACAGTGAAAATGCATTTCTATGTCGCAGTCAGCAAGCAGCTCCTCTCCAAATATCCAACCCTCACCAAGTTCCACGTCAAATTGATGAATCAATTCAGTTTCAACATCCTCCTATGGCTTTGATATGTACTTCAAACGATTTGAAATGTTTTTGCTGCCATAAAAATCACAAAATGTACAGTTGCCCTGTCTTTAATAGTAAAACCCCTCAAGAAAGGCTTAAAGTTGTACGCGACTTAAAACGCTGCACAAATTGCCTTGGTAATCACTTTGCTAAACGCTGCAAGTCGACTAATACTTGTAAGACCTGTTTGAAACTTCATCACACACTCCTACATTTTTTGAATCCTACTAAGCCTATGGCTGATAACAAAAATCACTCCAACCAAGAACAAATACCCCCGCCGCAGCAAACCTGCAGACTAAGCGAATTTCCATTTGCCTGATTGGATTTAGACTAAAATGTCTCCTTAAAAATATCACATTTATTCCCTATTTAAATAGAATCAGTTTAACACATACTTAGGTTTGCTGCAACAGGGAGGGTAAAATTTTTTTTTATGTAGGCCTAAAATGTTAATAGTTGGTAAGAAATAAAAACATTTTCCAAATTTGGGAAAAATCTATATATATAAAAGGCAAAGCCCTCACTGACTGACTGACTGACTGACTGACTGACTGACTCACTCACTCACTCATCACTAATTCTCCCACTTCCCACTTACCTAGGAGGCTGAAATTTGGTACACTGATTCTTTAGGCATTAAATAGGAAAACTAAGTGGTTTTTATTCTGATCGGACTCTTGGGCTCCTCCCCAGTGGCTCTGGAATTTCCCATACCAACCTAATGAGTACTCATATTTAAATGGAATTAATTAATCATAACAGCTGTTTCAATTACTAAACAAGTTGGTTCTGTTCTATTATGTTCAATAGCATTAAAGTTACAAGGATTACCAACAGAGTGCAGCACTATTTTTTCAGGGTGTCTAGTAGTCGGGAAAATCGGGAAAGTCGGGAATTAGTATTGAATTTCAAAATGGTCTTGAAAAGTCGGGATTTAGTCTTAAATTTGATTTCAAAGTCGGGAATTTTCATTATTTTGCCGCGATCGTCGTCTGGCGTTTACGTAACCGCGAAAGCCAATGATGATGATGTCCACACGGCCTCGGGAAATGTTCACAATTTTGCCGCGATAGTGGACGACGACGATGACGTTTCCGAAATCGCGGGAGACGACGATGACCTTTCCGTGACCGCTGAGGACGACGATAACGTTACCGTGACCGCAGGAGACGACGATGACGTTTCTGTGATAGCGGGAGACAACGATGACGTTTCCGTGGCCACGGGAGACGACGATGACGTTTCCGTGACCACAGGAGATGACGATGCCGTTTCCGTGACCGCGGGAAACGACGATGACGTTTCCGTGGCCGTGGAAGACGACGATGACGTTTCCATGGCCGTGGAAGATGACGATGACGTTTCCGTGACCGTGGGAGTCGATGATGTCTACACGGCCGCAAGAAATTTTCATTATTTTGCCGCGATCGCGGACGACGACGATGACGTTTCCGTGACCGCGGGAGATGACGATGACGTTTCCGTGTCCGCGGGAGACGACGATGATATCTGCTCGGCCGCGGGAAATGTTCATGATTTAGTAGCGATCGCGGACGACGACGATGACGTTTCCGTGACCGCGGGAGATGACGATGACGTTTCCGTGACCGCGGGAGATTACGGTGATGTCTAAACAGCCGCGGGAAATGTTCACGATTTTGCCGCGATCGCGGACGACGACGATGACGTTTCCGTGACCGCGGAGGACGACGATGACGTTTCCGTGGCCGTGGAAGACGACCATGACGTTTCCGTGGCCGTGGAAGATGACGATGACGTTTCCATGACCGTGGGGGTCAATGATGATGTCTACACGGCCGCAAGAAATTTTCATTATTTTGCCGTGATCGCGGACGATTACGATGACGTTTCTGAGACCGCGGGAGACAACGATGATGTCATTGATGTCTACAAGGCCGCGGGAAATGACAATGATTTTGCCGTGATCGCGGACGACGACGATCACGTTTCTGTAACCGCTGCAGTCAATGATGATGTCTAAATTACGTTATGCGGAAGATTTCATGATAAAAATAACCAAATATTCTAGTTAGAATTTTTTATTGCTGCACTATTTCTTTACTTGAAAACACCACATTATCATAATACTACTTTATGACAATGACAGGGGTTGGTGTAGTATTATTTAGAAAATTTGGTTAAGCTATAAAAATTCAATTGGTATCAGTATCAAGAATCGATACATTTTGGTATCAACACCCACTAATTGTTGAAAAAACTAGTCTTGAAAAATCTGGAATTAGTCTTGAAAAGTCTGGAATTAGTCTTGAATTTTATAATGGAAATAAACTAGACACCCTGTTTTTTTTTTTTAATAATTGAGAACAGCTAATTTGCAACCAAAAGGTGAGTGAGCGTAGCGAACGAACTTCAACCAGGACGTGTGAGCGAGGTCCAACCTAAAGGTGAGTGAGCGTTGCGAACGAACTTCAACCAGGACGTGATTGAGCCATGCGAACGAGCTCACATATGAAGTTAAACGGGGCAAAGCCCGCGGGTACAGCTAGTATGTTAATAAACAAGCACACTACAACGGTTTACTTATTCTCCATAAGAATAACATGGGAATTTTAAATTAACAATTTTTTTGAATTTTCTCCGTAACCATTAGGCGCATTATAACGCTTCAATATACTAAATTATTTGTTTTTTTAAGCTCTACAAAATAGTTTGGAAAGAAATTTCAAAATTTTATGTTTTTTGGGTCAAAAATAGGGAAAACCCATTTTTACCCCATAAAAGCCCCCATAAACCCCTGTTCCCATGGTCCGATCATGCTGGTTCGCGAACTCGTTCGAACAAACGTAGGTTTACACGTTTGTACCAAATTTCATCAAAATCGGATCATTTTTGCTCGAGTTATCGCGCTAACGGACACATATATATATAAATATATATATATATACTAGCTGACCCGGCGAACTTCGTATCGCCTAAGTTATAGGTTTCCCCTAAGACAGACCGATGGAAAGAAAGTACCGTTACGTTTAATTTTCAAGATGATCTCGTTCGCATCGCTCAATCACGTCCTGGTTGAAGTTTGTTCGCTACGCTCACTCACCTTTGGGTTGGAGCTCGTTCGCTACGCTCACTCACCTTTAGGTTGGAGCTCGTTCGCTGCACTCACTTGCCTTCAGGTTAGCTCGTTCGCTACGCTCACTCGCCTCCAGGTTGAAGTTCGTTCGCTACGCTCACTCACCTTTTGGTTGCAAATTAACTGTTGTCATAAATGTAAAAGAAATAATAGTGCTGCACCCTGTTGGTAATCCTTGTAACTTTAATGCTATTGAACATCATAGAACAGAACCAACTTGTTTAATTGAAACAGCTGTTAAGATTCATTAATTCCATTTCTCATAAGGTTAACATGGGAAACTCCAGAGCCACTGGGGCGTAGCCCTTTTAAGAATTTCGAAACGGGAAATAGTTTACGTCCGATTCGCATACCTACAGAATTTACACACCAAATTTCATAACGATCGGTAAAGTCGTTCCGGAGGAGTTTGCAGACAAACACTGTGACACGAGAATTTTATATATTAGATATATATAAATATATATATATGAATTTGAACGGATGGTGTTTTTGGCCTCTAGGGACCTCAAAACGAAAAAAAAAATCGGTTCCGGGTCCAGGTCTTATCATGAGTACTACGGTAATAGCTTATTCCCTATATGGGAAATTCGCTAAAAGAAGCAATATCAAACTCAAAACCTTCGAAACTGGCAGCTGTAGCTCCTGGCCATCTTCTTATTAACTCTTCTCTGACAACTGTTCCTGACCCAACAAAGATCTCACCTCTTATTGAAAATTTACCTCAAGACATCACCCAAAGCCTATGCTGCCGTTGGAGTCAAGGATATTTTAAGACCTCTCATCAGCGTTGTTTCAAGTGGAACCTCAAGAAAGAAAACCTCAACCTTCTCCTAGCTACAGACCAGCTAGATCCTCATTCAAGACCATCATTCAAAGTGTCTTCATACCATTAAGCTGCATTCTTTAAATAATTTTTCAACCCACTCTGGTCAATTCTCATACAAATTTTATATTTTTTTTCAATTTCTCTTTTGTTGAACCTTGTTGGTTCAAAGGGGGCGGTATGTTCAGTCAAGTTGCCTTTGTTTTTTTGTATTAATTTTATGTCTTTGTTTTTAACAGTCCATCTGTAATTCCCATCACATTACCATTTTTATGTCAATATTCAAAGTTGTTGCATTCATTCATCGCGAATCACCTCTCATAACAACACGTACTCATTATTTCTCTCATAAATTAAACCTCTTTTATACCAAAACCCTCGACCTTTTACTCTTTATTATAATAACACCGCACAACTGTCTCAGGATAAATATCTGGTGATTAAATTTTTCCACAGGTGTGGTAAGGTCGAAGGTTCTATGTAATTGTTTTCAAATATTAAATTGTTCTTTAGTTTGCGTTTGCGGTTAATAAACTAATAGCCTAACTCAGACTAATAAACTTGAATGTTATTAGTAAATTAATTATATTTGTTACTTGCCTTGCCAAGTACTTCAGATTAAATTTTCTTGAATTTCCAGGGGCAACGGCAACACCCTAGTCATCTGTTCTGAGGGAAACGCTGGGTTCTATGAGATCGGGATTATGATAACTCCATTGAAATGCAACTATTCTGTCTTGGGCTGGAACCATCCTGGGTTTGGGGGAAGTACAGTAAGTATAGTTTGTTAAAAGGTTATCTAATGAGTGTTTTGTTTAACATTTAAATTGATGTGGCCATAACCAGAACTAATGTATACATACATCTTGCTTTAAATACATTTTTTTGAAAGTAGGATACGAAAATCAAATCTTAAGTATAAGTATAAAATTAATTGATTTTAGGTTTGAAATCATGCCATTGTCAACTGTTATCACTATGGTAGGCTCTTTAAAAAGATTTAAAAAGCAATCCTGAGATTACAGAATATATTTTGTTCTATTTACCTTTATCTTTGACACTAAAAGCAAGTTGATCACTACATCATCACAATAAAACACTTAATGATTCAAGTTTATCCAAGTAAAGCAGCTAATGACATTATTCACAATCGTAGGGTATGCCGTACCCTGAGCAGGAACAGAATGCAATGGACATAGTGATGCAGTTTGCCATACACAGGCTAGGCTTCACCCCAGATAACATTATACTGTTTGGCTGGAGCATCGGTGGATACGCTACGTCATGGGCAGCTGGTAACTACCCTGAAGTCAAGGCTGTGGTGAGCTGCTGTTTTGAGTTAATAAGTTACAAGGTAGTTTTATGGAAGGAGGGATAATGATAGTTACAGGGTGTCTACTGGTCACTGAAGTAATGGAAAATTCATTAATTTTATAAGGGAGACTTGGTAGTTACTGAAAAGTAATGGATTTTCAATTTAAGGTCCCAAAAGTCACAAAAATTTGGGCCTAACTAAAATAAAGTTTTCCAAACACCTGTTTTTTGTTTTTCACCTTGCTGCAAGCAATGATTAAATTCATAATGCAGAATCATTGGGACCAAATAATGAAATTATGTTAATAAATATGAAATAATAATGTTAATTATGGGTTATTAAGCAAGCAACCAGCTTGAATCATTAAGGCTCAAAATATGTTGAGATGGACAAGTCTAGAATTTTTGACACATTTGCGAGATTTAAAAAATTGTTTTGTTCGAGCGAGACTAACTTTGCTCTGAGACTTAATTAAGAAAAACCCCTTCAGAAAGTCTATGCAATACTTGCAATACAGGAGTGCATTGTTGTTGCGTTTCCTTTATGAAGGCATTCTTATTTAATTTATTCTTTGCGTATATTTATTTTTGAATTGAATTACGAATTGAACTAATTATAGGTTGGGTCAAGCCTAGAAATCAGAGATTTGTAACCACAATATTTTTGGGTTGGGTCGAGTCAACAGTTGGCCCAAGGAATCAGTTTAAGCGAGAAATAATTTCCTGGCCAAACTCGGAAATAAAGTAATTTCAGTACTAACTGCTTACTGTGTATGTAGGCTTACTGTATGTGTGTGTGTGTGAACTTAATGTATTCGTATTCATGACTGTTATTAAGTGTTCAGCACAATTATGAAGACAAAAGATTTGACAACGGGGCAACATGCCTTCAAACTAATGTTATCTGTTATTAAACTATGGAATTGATGGTAGCAAATACTTACCTATTTTTATATAATCCATATTTTATAACCAATAATATTTTTGGTTATTTGGAATGGAAGATTTGGATATTTTTATAATCCAAGCTAAATGCTTTTTCCTAAAAACATTACCTATTTTTAGTAATGCTGTAATGTTTTAAACATTTACAATACTGTCGAATTCCTATTTTCTCGAGAAAAACCTACCGGTATTCTGAAGTGAATATGTTGAATACTGTGAACTTTCTTAAATGTGAAAAAACCTGTATTGAGCTATAAATTTCTCATTTAAATCTTTAAAATAGGGATGGGTTGGTTTTGTTTCTTGGTTTCTCAAAACTTTTGATACCATTTGTACTATTGAGGAGTACTTAGTTCTGACTGCTTTTGATTTAATAGCCTTCCATTTCCAGTCACTCCTAGCTGCAATATTGTGATTATCTTCCACGTTTGGGTTATCACAAACTATATCCAAATAACAAATATGACCTCGAACACTGTGAATAAATGCTAAATTTAATTTTCATTTGGTAGATGATTGATGCCTCATTTGATGACTTGTTGCCTCTCGCCGTCCCTCGCATGCCAGCAGCCCTAGAGCCTGTGGTGAGGAGGACTGTCAGACATCATGTCAACCTAGACATAGCTGCTCAGCTGTGTCAGTACCCGGGTCCTGTCAGACTCTACAGACGAACTGAAGACGAGGTCATCTGTCTTGTGTGAGTAACCGTCGACCACTCAATTTTAACTCTAGCAAATTTAATATTTAGTTTTTATTCATTACAGAATTGAGTTGTGATTATCTGACCTAAACCACCCTAAAAAAATAAAACCTAATTTATTTATTTTTTTGCATTGCTAAAATCTACTGTCTTAACTAGGGATGGACAGGATTGTAGTTTAAGTTTGTAACATGACGGGACAGGATTATTATGCATATTTATTTCCTGGATTTTAGGATGAGATTTATCTTCCTGTGTTTGATTATAAAATCTTGTAAATGGCAATTAAGGCAAACAAAATCAAGTTTTAGTGTTATTGAGCTGTTTTATGCCATCATGAATCCGTGGATATGGCACTATAGTTAAAATTCCTGAGAAGCAGGGATCATCATAATCTCCTGCAATCATGGAAAAAACATCATCGTCAACTGCCTTACCAGCCAAAACATAACCATCTCTGGTGACCACGGGGACATCATTATCGTCTTCCACAATTTATGCAAAATAGCGATCATCTCCCTCATACACAGAGACATCGTAATGGTCATTCGGGGTTGCGGCAATATCACTGATAGTTACAACTAATCCTCTCCTAAGAAAATCATGAATTAAATTTAACTTTGCCCAAGAGATTACAAATATACTTTTTCCTACAGTTACCTAACAATGAACATGTTCTCTCACTGATTTGAGAAAGCAAAGTGGACAATTCGCTCATCAGTGAGAGAATGTTAACATTGTCTCACTCTAATTACTTTGTCTCACTCCAGATTTGCAACGTGAAGGCACGAAAGTGGCCAATTCCCTCATCATCAGTGAGACAATGTTAACATTGTCTCACTCTAATTACTTTGTCTCACTCCAGACTTGCAACGTGAAGGCACGTTTCTTTACCAATTTATTTGTTTTATGGTAACTGTAGGAAAAATATAATGTGCAACTCGAGTGCAAAGTGTAATCGCCTCACTCGAGAAACCGCTTCCTTTAGATTTCTCTCGAATGAGGCAATTGCTCACTTTGCTCACTAGTTGCACAAATGACTATTTCCCAACAATCTTCTGAGAATTACCTGACATTTTGGGACCTCTCCATCTCTAGTCATTACTAGCAATTTGACTCTTCAATAAATAGTAAAAAAATAGTCTAACCAAAAGTATGCCTAATATCGTCAAAATATGTTTCAGCCCGGGTATGCTGTCTACCAACAGAGGCAACAATCTACTAGGTCAGCTGTTGAGGTATCGCTTCCCCCACCTCTTCTGTGATGAGTCAGAGGACGCTCTGGCCAACTGGCTAGAGACCTCGGGCAACCAGCAGAGTAAGTATTACTTAACTTTGAACTGACTGTACGAGGGGAGTGGAATTACTTTTTGATTCCTAGAGACACATTTACTCTATAAAAGTTTCAAGGCGTACTAAATTAAAACATTTCCAAACCAATAATGATGCACTATGTTTGTTGGTTGGGAAATGTTTGGAGGGATGATAGAGAATGGCGAGTCTGAGTCCCGGTAGGCTTTTAGTATCCCAATTTAAAGAAATCTGATCATGATGTTATAGAGATAAAAAATAGTTTGCTAAGGCAACCCAAAGAACTTAAAAATAGCAATTAGAGAGGTAGTTGTTATATGTTACAATACACCTTAGTTCCCTTTCTTTACATTTTCAAAAATGGTATTTGCACTGTGAAAACATTTATAAATATTGATACTACAAAGCAGTAGAACAAACATATAATGCAAGGTTAACTTATAAAAGATTCCCCCAAACTTGAGGGTAAAAAGAGACTGAAGAAAGCAAGAAAGGAGCACTGTTACCGCATGACAATTTCAAGAAATGACACCTCCAACAACATACTCTTTAAGACACCCAAATTATATACACTCAAAATATCCTAGTTTATATACAATATTGGGTATTTACTCAGGGGAGGTATAGAAGAGGCTACGATGACAGCTGTGGGCTTCTTATAAGCTGAGGGAACGCCATTACCGTAACAAAACGAACAGTAGTCATTGGCCTCGGTGGTCTCATGGTTAGCGTGCCGGGCTGATACGCTGAAGGTCCCGGGTTCAAATCCCGCTCGTGGCATTAACTTTTTGTCCAAGATTTTTTTATTATCAGCAAGTTTGGTTGGTTTGGTTCGGTTATGACAGTTTAATTTTATTATTAAGTCATTATAAAATTTTAGTAGAGCAATTTATAGTTTTATTTAATAAACAGAATTATTTTTTCTATTAATAAACGTTTGTTATATTATTTCATTATCAGCAAGTTTGGTTAGTTCGGTTAGGTTATGATAGTTTAATTTTATAATTAAAAAATAATAAAATTGAATTTGAGGCATTTATAATTTTATTTTATGAACAGAACTATTTTTGCGATTAGTAAACCTTCTTTGCCAAAGTACTCTCTACTACAGCGCTGTTCACGGAGGAATTTTGAACTAATGCCTCATTCGTACCTCCCCTAAGTCAGACCCTACAATATTGTATATGTTGTATAATTTAATATTCCTGTTATCAGTTAGAAAGTAACATTGAGGCTGATGTTTTTGTGTGATTGTAACTCAGTAGAACTCTGGCATCATATTTTGTATTGATTGGCGTCAGGTTAATTGTAGAGAAGTCAATTTATAAAATAAAAAGGTTAATTGTTTTATGTAGATTTTAAGGATATTCCAATAATTGAGACTTTTCTCGTGCATTTTTTGGATGTTTGGTTTTTAGGTTACAACACAGTAATAATGAAAAAGTTTATTAAAAAGTACAAAACACACGATTATAATGAAAAAAAAACTATGAATGAAAAACTATGCAGGAAAAACTAAATGTATGATTTTATTACGAGAAATAGTTTTGAAATAGCTGACTTTTAAATAAATTTTCAATCTATGCTAGACAACTTAAACTTAAAAGAGATTTAATAGACCGTATAATAATATTTACGAATCTTTGAGTGATTTTTGCATGGTGATGAAAAGTATTGTTCACTATTTGTCACAAAAGATCCATTTCGGGGCTCGATAGTTTATTCTTTGCCTACAAACCAAACTATCTTGCTCCAAAATGGGTCACTTTTGGGACTAGCAGTGAAATTACTATAATTTATCGAAATATTTATGTTTTTAGTGGGTCTACACTGTACATTTTCAGTTGGATACATAAATTAATAACTCATCTTATAAATATCTTATAGGGCTTAAAACTATTTTTCTAATCATATTTGTCAAAAGGCTTGTGAAAATTGTAAATTTGTACACTTTTCTAATTCACTGGTTAAGTTTATCCAAAGATAGGAACTAATTTTGTGCTTAAGATTTTATAATGCAGGGGTCCAGACTTATCTGTTGTCTTGTTTGACCTGGCCTGGAGTGTAAGGTGAACACTTGGCTAGTATGAGAGGGTCAGTAGGTTCACATGCTGCTCTGTCGTAGTTGTACCTAAACAGGATTGAAAATAGGTGAGAAGTTTTAAGTCATGGACTTAAAAAATATAAGCCAACCTCTATAACGGCAATACCAACAACACAACACACACGCCACACACAACACATGGCATATAAACTCAACACGTTAACAAAATAAGTATCATTGAACATTGCAAAAGATTAGTACAGATTTAAGTTTTGTGGCGGAAAGGTTGGTCAATAGGCTTCCCTGTTGACCCTATATAGATCTAATATAATCTACAGTAGAGTCCCGGTTAACCGAGTCCCGATTATCCGAGCCTCCGGGTTAACCGAGGTACTTCTTGAAAATACAAATTTCTAAATTGCGTCAAATCGGAGGTGGACAGATATCCGTAATAGTCGGCAGCGGTCAGAAAAAGTTGGGAGCAACCAGCAGTCGTCGGAAGCAAGTGGCAAACATTGTGTGTGTTTGGCTGAAGTCGAGTGCGTTCGTGGTTTGTTGCCCGCCCCCCATTTTGTAGTTGGTTTTGCTTAGTTGTCAATACTGTAGTGAGTGCCGCTAAAGGTACTGGTACATTGTGAGGTGTGTTGTGCTATTTCTAAGCCCATCATGGGGGGTAAACGGGTACTGTTGTTTCGATTGAAACTAAATTTAATGCAATTAAACGTCTTGACAATGGAGAGTCTATTAAGAAAGTGGCTAAGGAACTAGGTGTTGGTGAAGTGACCGTGGGAAACTGGCGGCGTAAAAGATCTGAAATTGAAGGTTGGGCTTCTCAGAGCAGCAGTTTTGACAACATTTCAAGTAACTATGAAAACTATGAAAAAATGTGAGTAAAAGACACCTGAGGCTTTGTTTATATGGGTCTCCCAAATGAGGTCACTGGGTAGTCCATTAAGTGGACCAATCATCAAAGCCAAAGCAATTGCGTTTCAAAAACCGTTCAAAGATGGCGATGAACCTTCTACTGCTAGCACAGGGTGGCTAGACCGTTGGAAGAAGAGGTTCGGGATAAGACAGTTAGATTTAGTGGAGAAAAGTTGTCGGCAAATTCTAATGACGTTAGAGAGTAAAAAAAAATTGGAAACCCTGATATGAAACATGGTCTTGCTTCAGAACAGATATTTAATTGCTACGAAACAGGCCTAAATTTGGAATGTTACCATCTAAAACGTTAGCAGCTAGGGATGATCAGAGAGCACCTAGATATAAAAAAAATTAAAATAGGGTTACTGTTCTTACGATAGGGATGTTAAAATGCATCCGGAAGTTTGAAATTGAAATCGGTGGTTATCGGTAAAGCTAAGAACCCTCGAGCGTTCAAAAACCTGAACATTAAATAATGCTTACCAGGGCTGTAAAAGAGCAAAAAAAAAAAAAAAAAAAAAAAATGCTTGGATGGATGGTCAATTTTTTAAGCAGTGGTTTTTCAACCATTTTGTAACTATTGTAGAAGCATTTTTAAAGAAAAAGAATCTCCCACGCAAGGCCGTATTGCTTCTAGACAATGCCCGCTCACACCCTGACTCTGACAATCTGGTAAGTGGAGACATTGAGGTAATATTCTTGCCACCTAATGTTACTTCGCTAAATCAGCCGCTTGATCAAGGTGTTCTTGAAACGTTCAAGAGGAACTATCGAAAAATACTGTTGACCTACTTGATTGAACAGTTGGACAATAGCACAGTCAGAGAATCGTGGAGGAAGCTTTTGGGATCCAAAAATTAACAGAAAAATATCACTCTAATGATGCACCAAAAAATGACAAAACTGATGTTAGTGAGCATTTACATTGCCTACGAGTGAGCCATTAACTCAAGAAGATTTGCTGGACTGGGTAAACAAACGTAATGAATTGACCGAGAACGATATTGTAAACGTTGTAAATCGTGATGAGTGTGGGGGAGATGAAAATGTTGCTAGTGACGACGAATCAGCCGAAGCCAAACGCATATCACACACGGACAGACTGAAAGCACTGAGAAGGCACTGGCTTACATGGAACAGCAGCCCGAGGCCACGATGTCAGAAATACTCTGCCTGCAGCGATGGCGGAACATCACAGCCGAGAAAAGAGGAGCTAAACTCCGCCAGAAAACTATTTTAAATTTCTTATCACCAAAATAAGTTTTGTTTTTCCGACTACGGTAATTGTAAACTTGGTTGTATTTACAGTGTCATGTAACAAAAGAGAAGAAGTGCAATTTCATCAATAAAGTAATTTAAGTGTTCCTTTTACGATGTTTTATAAATACTAATTTATTAGTGACCTATTTATTCTCAACACTCTCCGTGTTAACCGAGTTTTTACGTATCCGAGGTGCCTTTGGTCCCAATTACCTCGGATAAGCGGGACTCCTTTGTTTATTAGATATACCATAATTTTAGATGATATATAAATAGTTTAATAATAGCATATAATATATAAACATTAAATTAAATAATTAGATGTATAGACAAGTGCTGTGGTACTTTGAACATTTATACCTGTGGTTCGGGATGGTACATCTCCGCACCTCCAGGGTGGTACATTCGTCAATCACGGTCAAAGTCACCAGCTCAGTGTCCTTGTAATTATTGGCAGGGTCGCTTTCCTGTCAAATAATTTTTCAAGTTTACGAAAGATATGTACTATTAAACATTCCCTAAAAGTCAGATTAAATGTTGTCTAGGTTTTCATTAACATTTACTACTAGATGAGTTATTATACAGTATTTTGCTATACTTTTCACCAGTGCGATGTCAACAATGTCTGTGATCTTAACTTGTATACAAATTAGTCCTGGGATTATCAACTAAGGTGTAGTACTTGTCAATTCTAAAAAAAAAGACAAACAACTACTTTCTGCAAAACTGTGAACATCATTTGCTATCACAGTGAAATCTTCAACTTTTTGATCTTGCAT